GCTAGTCCCCACCCATGTACCAGGCCTCTATCCTATCTAATAAAAGAGTAATATGCAGATTGACCATCACTCCAACACACAATAGCTGTGGTCAAAGATGGCTGCCCCCATGTGGACACAAGATGGCCACCACAAGATGGACAGCAGGGGAGGGCAGTTGGGAGATAGCAGGCATACAAGGGAGGGCAGTTGAGAGGGACCAGGCCTGCAAGGAAGGGCAGTTGGAGGCAGGGGAGGGCAGTTAGCAGTGACCAGGCACACAGAGGAGGGAAGTTGGGAGCAAACAGGCTGACAGGGGAGCAGTTAGACACCAATCAGGCTGGCATGGGAGTGGTTAGGGGGTGATCAGGCTGACAGGCAGAAGCGGTTAGGGGCAATCAGGAAGGCAGGCAGGTGAGCAGTTGGGAGCCAGCAGTCCTGTATTGTGAGAGGGATGTCCAACAGGCAGTTGGACATCCTTTGAGGGGTCCTAGATTGGAGAGGGTGCAGGCTGGGCTAAGGGACACCCCATCCCCCACCCCTTGCACAAATTCCGTGCACCGGGCCTCTAGTCCTATATAATAAAACCCTGCCAAAACCGGTTTGGCTCAGTGGATAGAGCGTCGGTCTGCGGACTGAAAGGTCCCAGGTTCCATTCCGGTCAAGGGCATGTACATTGGTTGCAGGCACATCCCCAGTGGGGGGTGTGCAGGAGGCAGCTGGTCGATGTTTCTCTCTCATTGAAATTTCTAGCTCTCTATCCCTCTCTCCCTTCCTCTCTGTAAAAAAAAAAAAATCAATAAAATATATATTTAAGAAAAAAAAAATAGCTGAAACTGGTTTGGCTCAATGGATAGAGCGTCAGCTTGGGGACTGAAGGGTCCCGGGTTCGATTCCAGTCAAGGGCATGTAACTTGGTTGCGGGCATATCCCCAGTAGGGGATGTGCAAGAGGCAGCTGATTGATGACTCTCTCTCATCGATGTTTCTAGCTCTCTCTCTCTCTCCCTTCCTCTCTGTACAAAATCAATAAAATATATTTAAAAAAATATATATATATATATTAAAAAACAAACAAAAAACAACCTAATATGCAAATTGACTAAATGGTGAACAACTATGATGTGCACTGACCACCAGGGGGCCAGGTGCTCACCGCAGGAGCTACCCCCTGGTGGTCAGTGCGCTTCCATAGGGGGAGTGCTGCTCAGCCAGAAGCCAGGCTCACGGCTGGCAAGCACAGCGATGGTGGTGCTAAGGACCCCTTGGGGGATGTCCGACTACCAGCTTAAACCCGCTCCCCAAAAGCCATATCCCCCAAGGGGTTCCAGGACTGCAAGAGGGTGCAGGCTGAGCTGAGGGGACCCCCTCCCCCCCACACCCAGTGCACAAAATTCGTGCACAGGGCTCAGCCCTTGCAGCCTCAGCTTCACCTGTAAGGTCATCCAAAAGGTCATTTGGCCATCTGGTCTAATTAGCATATTGCCAAAAGGAAACCTAACATTGTCACTGGAGATAAAATGTAAAAAGAGCTACTGACCTTGAGGACTCTGAATGGTCAGAGCTATTAACTCATTGTCTAGTTGAGATAGTGGTGCTTGAGGCAACTTTAATTTGTTAATCATATGTAAATGTAAGTTGATTTTCTGTTGTTGGAACTTCCCGCCTAAGAGATGTCTTTGTTTCAGAATCTCAATAAAAGGAATGGTAAAAGGCCAGAGAGCAGTTAGTCTTCCCACTAGAGGTGGACTTCCCGCTTGGCCCCCATTTTCCCAAATTAACTCTTCCAGTCTCTCTCTTCATTTTAGTGTGCGGCCTTCTCCAGAAACCAGACCCTGAGTGGGCCCTGAACCACGCGGGTCGTGTTAAGGGATCACAGCATATTATGTTTTTATTATTAAATATATATATATATATATTTTGTAATGGGTTGAAGATCACTCTTTTTTTTAATATATTAATATATTTTATTTATTTTATACAGAGAGGAATTGAGAGGGACAGAGAGTTAGAAACATCGATGAGAGAGAATCATCGATCAGCTGCCTCTTGCACACCCACTACTGTGGATGCGCCCACAACCAAGGTACATGCCCTTGACCGGAATCGAACCAGGACCCTTCAGTCCGCAGGCCGACGCTCTATCCGCTGAGCCAAACCGGTCCCGGCTATATATATATATATATATATATATATATATATATTTTTTTAATTTTATTGATTAAAGTATCACATATTTGTCCTCAACTCCCCATTCCAACCCCCCCTCCCCCCCCCACACACACACACACTCATGCCCCCACCACCCTATTGTCCTCAACCACTGGTTAGGCTCATATGTATGCACATAAGTCCTTTGATCTCTCCCTTTTATCCCCACCCTCCCTTTGAGGTCCAACAGTCTGACCCATGGCTCCTTATCTCTGGGTCTGTTCTTGTTCATCAGTCTATGTTGTTCACCATTTCCCCTAGATGACTAAGATCATGTCCTACTGGAAATATACTTATAAGAATAAACAATGAGCCAGGACCGGTTTGGCTCAATGGATAGAGCGTCGGCTTGGGGACTGAAGGACCCGGGTTCGATTCCGGTCAGGGGCATGTACTTTGGTTGCGGGCATATCCCCAGTGGGAGGTGTGCAAGAAGCAGCTGATTGATGACTCTTTCTCATCGATGTTTCTAACTCTCTATCTCTCTCTCTTCCTCTCTGTATAAAATCAATAAAATATATTTTAAAAAAAAGAATAAACAATGAGACAAACAATATATTATAGATACTTTTTAATGGATTTCAGAGAGGAAGAGAGGAGAGAGAAACATCAACAACGAGAATAATTGATCGGCTGCTTCTTCCATGCCCCACAGTGGGGATCGAGCCTGTGACCAGGGCATGTGCCCTGACTGAGAATCGAACTGTGACCTCCTGGTCATAGGTTCATAGGTTCTTGCTCAACCACTAAGCCACACCAGCTGGGCAAAAATGGTGTTCTCAACTCTGGGACCCTAGAGTCATGAGAAACTAATGAAATCCAAAGCTCCTCTCTCCTAAAACACAGAGGTGCCATCACACACAGCGACACACCGAAAGTCAAGAAGTCAAGTCCAGACCAAGAACGCTTGTGCCAATTGAAATATGGTAGCACTCATACTTGGGTAAAAACTGCTGTTTGAATTTTAACCTTGCTATCTGACTTCGACCTTCGATTACTTGCTTGAACAATAGGGTAGTTGCAGGAGATTGACTCCCACTGACTCAGTAGCTTCAGGGGTAGAAACTGTAGATAACCTTTAGTTCTGTTTTTGTATTATGGGCAAGATAGGGCCACATTCCAATGTCAAGCAGGGTGTGACTGGGAACCAACCCTGCTGGCTGTCCCCAGTCTTTAGAATTTAGTCCTGAGGGGCCAATCAGGGTTAGCCGAGGCAGTGACATCACCGACCTGAGTAAAACCCCTGGACTGGGCGAAATTCGCTCTCTTCCGCCATGCTGCCGGCATGAGTGGGATAGCCCATGCTAGCATGGAGATGGCTCTTTTGTTTATTGCATCGGACTCGGCTCCCTGGTGGTCCTTGGGGATCATGACTGGAATCCCCAGCCAGGACCATGAGGGACCCCCATTCCGGAGAGCCTGACTGGCCGCGGTAGGTGTGTGTTTGTCTGTGTTTTTGTGTGAGCGCTCTGGAGGGACTGCCCCTCCATCAGGGCTCTTACCTGGGTGTTTACCGGCTGCTGCGTCAGCCATGGTTTGAGTCCAGATTCGAATCTGTAATAAATTCTAGCATGCTTAATCAAATTGGCTCCGGTGGTCCATCTCTTGGGGACTCGCTTCGTAACACCAATGTGTGTGCTCTCCCCAAGGATGCCCGCTTTGGTTCTGACATAAAACTCCTGCTTCTCAGTGAGGGTGGCCATCGGGAGAGAGAAACAGGTAAGTGTCAAGATGGGCCTACCCCTCGCTGGCCTTTCTCACAAATTTAAGAGAGTGCCTATTAACTGCTGGGAGAAAAATCAAGAGAGGGGGCGGCGACAGGACCACCTACAAATGATCTGCTTTCATTTGTTCCACAAAAACTTACTGCATCCCTAATATGTGCTGGGCACAGCCCTTTGAACCTTCTTCCTTGTGCCCCTACTTACCCATTCCAAGCTGCACCCCTGGATTGCAATTGTGGGTTCACAGGTTTGTCTCCCCTCCCGCCCCACCCACCCCATCGCCCCAGTCCCAAGACCAGAGTGGGATCCTGCCTTCCACTGGTATCCTGATATTCCTGGGACCGGCACAAGGTAACGTGACAGCCAGTGCTGAGCGCCCACAGGCCGGGCTGCGTCCCCCTGATCTCAAAAACGGCCTTCTGCCATTCACTGAGCACTTAATCGGCGGGCAGTGGGGGCCAGTGGAGCCCACACCTGAGCGCAGCCCGACGCGATGGGCCCGAGAGGGTGCGGGGGGTGCGGGAGGTGCGGGGTGGGGGAGGCTTGGGTGCCGGCGGCCCAGGCCGGGGCGGGGTGGGAGGGGCAGGTTTAAATGTCTGGAGCCGGAAAAACACCTCCCGCGCCCAGGTGACTCCAGAGCCGCCTCATGTCTGGCATCTGTCCAGGCCGGGGCTAAAAGAGAGTTTTTGCTTCAGGACTGGGGGTTGTTGGGGGTGACAGCCTTTGGGGGTTACACTAGCCCCAAGAAAGCAGCTCACAGAGGTGGCGGGAGCGCCCACCTAGAGGGGCGGACCGCCCTCCAAGGACCCCCAGCTGGTGGGGGGGCCCCCTCCCCCGATGCCAGGTGTGTGTACCCCACGCCACGCCGTCACTCACCCTCCCGATGCGGGCGCCGCACAGCACGCGCGCCAACCGGCCAACAGCAGCTGCCAGGCCGCCACGGAGCCCAGGCGAAGGGGGCGGGACCGCGGCGCCGGAGTCTGTTGCTAAGGGGGCGGGGCCAGCGGAGTCTGTTGCTAAGGGGCGGGGCCATAGGGCGGAAGCCAGCCCAGCGGGCGACAGGAAGCCCCGCCCACAACATGGCCGCGCCCAGCGGTCTAGTAATTTGGAGCCGCTCCACCGCCAAATCTGGTGACGCGGTCCGTCGCCCCACCCGTCGGCAGCCACTCCCTGTCTCGGTCGCCGAACTCGAGAGGGACACGTGACCCTGCGGGGGCCAGTCACGTGAGGCTCAGGCCGGGTGGGAGGGGGTTGGCCCTGGGGGTCCGGAGCGGCAGCAAGAAAAAAAAAAGAGGAAGATGGCGGGGTGCAGGGGGTCCTGGTGCTGCTGCTGCAGATGGTGCTGCTGCTGCGGGGAGCGGGAAAGCCGAACGCCCGAGGAGCTGGTGAGGCGGGGGCGCTGGGGGCCGGGCCGGGCCGGGCTGTTGCTAAGGGACCGGGAGAGGCGTCGGCGGAGGTGGGGCCGGGCGAGCCTGGCCCGCAGGTGGCAGCGTGTGCGGGCGGGCACCGCATCCAGGGCTCTCGCACCATCTGCCCTGCTTCCCGTGCCCAAGTCTGGAGTCTTATTCTCATAACTCTTCCCAGGAATCCAAGAGAATCCAGGCCAGCTTCAGTTAATCCCATAGGTTTTGTGTGTGTTTTTTAATTTCCATCAGAAAGGAGTTGAGCGAAACGGGCATTTTCGGAATGAGCCTTTCATGCCGCTGGCTGAGGTTCTCCAGCCCTTTTCTCTCTCCATCCCTAAGCCTTTCGGGGTCATGGACAAGCCAGCTTTTCCATGCAAAGCATCCTGGGAAAACTGGAGTTGCTGTGCCCCCAAAGTTGACAGGTCTCTTCTGATTTCAGATAGGGCACCTTGTCAGACGGATCTGGATTCCCCCCTCCCCGCCCCCCCCCTCCGCTTAAGCTGGCAGTGGGCATCTTGGACGTGTCCTGAAGACAAGAGTGATTATTTGGAGAATGTGTCAATAGAGATGAAAAGCTCAGCTGAGTCCCCACCCACATCACCTCCTGTCCCAAAAGGGTTTTGTGTTTTGTGGGTGTTTGTTTTTTTGCGATCTTGTTCCCATTAGTGACGATGGTTCTAGACAATTTAGAAACTAGCAACAGATGTCGGTAAACACTTATGCCTCTTTTTCCTTTTAACCACTAAAAGGCTCTCCCTTCTGTGGATCTGTTTTTCTAGACCATCCTCGGAGAGACACAGGAGGAGGAGGAGGAGATCCTGCCAAGGAAAGACTATGAGGTGAGCTTCTCGGCTACTCTCTTGGTAACAAAAGCAGGGACTGACCTGGGCCCCTGAGACAGAAGCATTAGGATGCCAACCAAGGGAGTGAGAGGTACCTTCCCTCCGGGAAAGGGGCTGTTTAACAAGCCCCCTCCCCTTCTTAGATATATTCTTATAGATTTCTTCCCTCTTAGTAACAATTTTTGAATCACTAGATACTTTTCTACATTACATTTTTGATTAGGGAAATGCCATTTTATTGTGCCATAGTCTTTTGTTTGTTTTAAATTTTTTTTTTTAAAGGAGAGAGAAAGGGAGCGATAGAGAAAGAAACATCAATTTGTTGTTCCACTTATTCATGCATTTATTGGTTGATTCTTGTATGTGCCCTCACTGGAATTGAACCTGCACCTTGTCATATTGGGACGACACTAACCTGGCCTCCTTGCCAGGGTAACCGACTTTTCTGTTTGATGAACTGCATGGTGACATCCCTTCTTGTTCAACATTAAATGCTTCCTTAGGATTAATTCCAAGAAGTAGAATTAATCATGTGTATGTGTAATGCTTTAAAAAAAAAAAATGTCGTGTAGCCGAAACCGCTCAGTGGATAGAGCGTCAGCCTGCGGACTGAAAGGTCCCAGGTTCAAGTCGGTCAAGGGCATGTATCTTGGTTGAGGGCACATTCCCAGTGGGGTGTGCAAGAGGCAGTTGATCGATGATTCTCTCTCGTCGTTGTTTCTAACTCTATCCCTCGAGGTCTCTTCCCCCTGTAAAAAAATCAATAAAATATATTTAAAAAAAATTTTTTTTTAAATGTCATGTAGACTTTAAAAATTCATAATTTAGGGCAATAATATACTCAGACTAATTTTCTTAGTATTTCATCTTACTTTTTTTTTTTTTTTAAACATTTTTTTTTCTTTTCTTTTTTTATATTTTATTGGTTTTTTTGTACAGAGAGGAAGGGAGAGAGATAGAGAGTTAGAAACATCGATGAGAGAGAGTCATCGATCAGCTGCCTCTTGCACACCCCCTACTGGGGGTATGCCCGCAACCAAGGTACATGCCCTTGACCGGAATTGAACCCGGGACCTTTCAGTCCCCAAGCCGACGCTCTATCCATTGAGCCAAACCGGTCCCGGCTATTTCATCTTACTTTTGCTGCAGAATTTGGTGTAACTATCATGACTGGTCATGCAGCATGAAAAATTTTAAAAGCTTTTGTTACAGACAGCCTCAAGCATCCACCAAAAGGGACAGAACAGTGTATTGAAACCCCTTGTCTTCAGCAGTAGTTCGGCTTCTGTGTATCATGTGAATGATATACTAGCTCCCATCCGCTGCCCTGTCCGTGGAGAGTAGATACGGCAGGAGGCTTCTCCGGGACTAAGTGACAGGGTTTTATTAAAGGGCTTTAAGATTTGCAAATCAGAAACACCCAGCGTGTTCTGAAGAAAAAAAGTTGAGAGTTTTTACAATTAAAAAGTACATTCTTAAGAAAAATCAGTCCTGTGTTCTTGGTTCTGGATTGGTCCGAGATGGTGATCTTCCAGATGTCAGGCAGTCGATACATTCTTTCCAGAGTTCTGCAAAGGCTGAGCTACAGGACTTACATATTTCTCCAGGCACTGATGCACAACTGCAAAGTTCAAAACTTTTAAGTCCTCAGGTTCAATTCCCGGTAGGGCATGTAGGAGGCAAGCGGATCGATGTTCCACTCTCACATACATGTTTCTCCTCCCCACTCCCCTTCTCTTCTCTTTACACTCCCTCTCCCTTCCTTCCCTCTGCCCCTCCCCCTCTCCCAAAATTAATAAACTATTCTTCAAAGAAATTTTTTTAATAGAGGGTGTATTTTATTTTTTAAAATATATTTTATTGATTTTTTACAGAGAGGAAGGGAGAGAGATAGAGAGCTAGAAACGTCGATGAGTGAGAAATGTTGACCAGCTGCCTCTTGCACACCCTACCGGGGATGTGCCCGTAACCAAGGTACATGCCCTTGACCGGAATCAAACCCGGGACCTTTCAGTCCACAGACCGACGCTCTACCACTGAGCCAAACCGGTTTCGGCTCAAAGAAAATTTTTAAAGTGTTATTCCCCCGAATCAAAGAGCAACATACACAGCAAAAATAAAAGGAAGTTAGTTATGGTAGAGAAGTGACAGCTCTGGCTGATGTAATTCTGTGGTTAGAGTGTCAGCTGGAGCACAGAAGGGTTTTGGGTTTAATTCCAGTCAAGGGCACAAATCTGGGTTGCAGGTTTGATCCCAGGGTATGGTCAGGCATGTGTAGGAGGTAGCCAACCAATGTGTCTCTCACATAACTTTCTCTCTTCACCCCGCCTTCTCCTCCTCTCTCCACCTCCCTCCTTCCCCCTGCCTTCCATTATCTGGAAATCAATGGGAGAAATATCCTTGGGTGAGGATTAACCAAAGAGACAGAGAGAGAGAGAGAGAGAGAGAGAGGAAGAGAGAGAGAGAGAGAAGTGACAGTATCTGATTTTAACAGATCCTATATAGTTTATTGATGTATATTTACAGTGTTAGGCTCTCAGCTGATTTATTTTAAAAAAAAGAAAAGATTAATATTCTGGCATTGCATTTGTTTCTAAATGCCCCTCTAAACAGCTTTAGTCAGGGTTAGGGCTAGTATATAATTCACATGATATAAAATTTACCTATTTAATGTGTACAATTCAGTGGTGTGTTTAGTATATTCAGAGTTGTGCAGCCCTCACCAAATCAATTTCAGAACATTTTTGTCACCTTGGAGAGAAACCCCGGACCCATTAGCAGAGTCACTGCCCATTGTCCTTGTCCCAGACCCTAGGCAACCACTAATCTACTTCCTGTTGCCTCTTCTGGGCCTCTGAAAACCTTCTCATTGTTTGTGCAGTCATAACATTATTAGGCAAAACCATCAAGCAAATAATTAATAGGCCAGTCATTTCTATAAATATTTGGTATGAAGAAATTCATATTTTTCAACATTTTAACTTTTTCCCTGTTTGTTTCTAAAATGTGATGTCACTAACTTGATTAAAATATACATGCACATATATAAATATATACTTAATCATTCATGGATGGGCCTAGTTTCTCAGCAGAATTTTGCACCGTGGCTTTTTTCTACACATACTAGAGACCCAGCGCACAAAATTCGTGTGTGATCAGGCCATCTTTCCCAGCTGCCCTCAGCTGGTGATTGGTGCCTGACGGCCAGGGGAAGGGACCAAGAGCTGGTCAGTGCACCTCATAGTGACTGGTCTAGCGGTCATTCTGGTCATTCTGCCATTGGGGTCAATTTGCATATTACCCTTTTATTATATAGGATAGAGGCCTGGTGCACAGGTGGGGACCGGATCCTGCACTGAAGGGGTCCCCAGATTGGGGTAGGGGTCTCAGCTGGGGCATGACCAGCCTGAGCAAGGGGCCTCGGGCAGTTTGCAGGCCATCCACACCCCCATCAGGGCAGGGGTTCCTGCTGGGAGGTGGGACTAGCCTGGGCGAGGGGCTGTGGTTGGTTTGCAGGCCAGCCATGCCCCTGGCTCTGTCAGGAAGGACGTCCGGAAGACATCTGGTCTATCCAGTCCAATTAGCATATTACCCTTTTATTATAGATATCTTTTTATTGATTTCAGAGAGGAAGGGAGAGGGAGAGAGATGAAACATCAATGATGAGAGCAAATCATTGATCGGCTGCTTCCTGCACGCCCCCTACTAGGGATTGAGCCCGCAACCCAGGCACCTTGAATCCCGGACCTTTCCACTGAGCCAAACCAGATAGGGCTCTGATGTGTTTTTTTTTGTAATCAGAAAATTATTTTCCCCCCAGATATAAAAAGTACCATGTTTGCTGTGAAATTTTCAAACAATATCCAGATGTGAAGAACACCTCCTAGACTATCACCTCAGAAATAGCCATTGTTAACAGTTTTCCCAGATGTTTTTGCTTTAAGTATGCTGACACAAAAAATATTAATTTTATTTACTCAAAAAGGGATCATATACCATATTATAACTTTTTCACTCACCTGTCCCTCTTGCAGAGTTTGGATTACGATCGCTGTATCAATGACCCTTACCTGGAAGTTTTGGAGACTATGGATAATAAGGTGAGTCCCGTATTGATCTCTTGGGACTGAGGAGGTCTTACGACAGCTTCTTTACCTTTGCTCCTTAGCCCTTTTAACCCTCATGAGTCAGCAGCATTTATCCCTTAGACTACTTCCTCCTGCCAACCTGAGTACCCCCTGGCCCAACCTCTTAGAGTCCATCATTCTTGCATTATAAAGCACCCTCCATATCAGACATCATCTTTGACATTTTTGCTGTCCTTGTGAAATTCACTCTGAAACTGGTTGACCAAGATGTGTTCCTTCCCTGATGCCAACATAATCCTGAAACAAACTGAGTCATTTTTTCCTTTGTGAACAGAAAGGCCGCAGGTATGAGGCGGTGAAGTGGATGATGGTGTTTGCCATTGGACTCTGCACGGGTTTGGTGAGCAGGCGGGGCATGAGGGGGTGGTGGGCTCGAGGGCTGGAGTGAGTCAGAGGTCAAGCTCCAGCCTGACAAATAAGTTGTTTGTCATAACAGGGACCGCCTTGTCTTTTTTTTTTTTTTTTTTTTTTTTTAAATATATTTTATTGATTTTATAGAGAGGAAGGGAGGGAGATAGAGAGTTAGAAACATCGATGAGAGAGAGTCATCGATCAGCTGCCCTGCCTCTTGCACACCCCCTACTGGGGATATGCCCGCAACCAAGGTACATGCCCTTGACCGGAATCGAACCCGGGACCCGTCAGTCCCCAAGCCGACGCTTTATCCATTGAGCCAAACCGGTCCTGGCCTGCCTTGTCTTTTTTCCCCTTTCATTTCTTAATAATCTGACACTCTCTTATACTTTATAAAATGAAAGCAAATCATACAACTTAGGTGTTCTTTAACACACTCAAAGGTTTGGTCCAGTTCTCTTAGATAAGCTGTGGTCCTGTCAAGTAGACAACATGGAGGGGAGAGCACTCAGTTGAGTCACTCTGTAGGGAAAAAGCAAAGTAATGGGAACAAAACTGTAAAGATTTGTTCTTTTAGCACAGCCACCAGGATGTGCTGTCCTGGGCCTCTTCCCTGAACATTGCTCGTTTTTTCTAGAAGGTGGAGCTGGCAGTTGTGGGCAGAGGAATACACCTGAATGCACAGGGTTCTGAGGTCAGCAATTCACACACCAATCACGGACAAGAAAAGATTATGAAACATTGCCAAAGATGATAAGTAGCACAAGGTCTGGAACCATAGCTGCTGATGTACCGTGGTAAAACCTGGCAAAGAAAAGCTGGGGAAGGTAGCAGCCAGTCCAAATAAGACATGTTCAGTCTGATTCTCCATCATTGCAGTGTTAACTAGGGGTTGTCTTGGCCCATTTGGGCTATCACAAAAATACCATAGACTAGATGGCTTGAAACAGACATTTATTTCTCACAATTCTGGGGACTAGAAGTTCAAGATCTAGGGCCAACAGATTGGTGTCTGGTGACCAATCTGTTTTCCAGTTCGGAGATAACCATCTTTTTGCTCTGTCCTCACATGGCAGAAGGGAGCAAGAGAGCTCTCTGGCTGGGGTCTCTCTCTCTTTAATCATGATAAATGTGGTATATAAGATAATACATATTTTAAGTATATTATATTATAGTTCAACAAGAGGCCCAGTGCATGAAATTCATGCACTCTGGGGGGGTTGTCCCTCAGCCCCTTCCCCATCAGGCTTAAGCTGGCAGTCAGACATCCTTAGTGCTGCCACAGAGGCGGGAGAGGCTGGCCTGACTTATGGCTGAGTGGTGCTCTCCCTGTGGAGTGCACTGACCACCGGAGGGTCTTAGTAACCAATCATTCTGCTTTTGGGCTAAAGCCAGCTTTCCAACATCCCATGAGGGGTCCTGAATTGCAAGAGGGCGCAGGCCAGGCTGAGGGACCCCACTGGTGCATGAGTGGGGCCAGGGAGGGACACAGGAGGACTCCAGGGCATGTCCGTTCATCTTGTTCAGTCCCTGTCGGCTTAGCCCCAGTAGCAAGCTAACCTACTGGTCTGAGCGTCTGCCCCCAGGTGGTCAATGCATGTCATAGCGACCGGTCGATTATCTGCCCTCTGGTGGTCAGTGCACATCATAGTGAGCGGTTGATTGCCCTTAGCATATCATTTGCATATTATACTTTGAATGGCCAGGTGGCTAGACACTTAACATATTAGGCTTTTATTATATAGGATAATGTATATACTACAGTGTTTATTACTATAAGTCTAGTAACCCTCTCACCATATGGTTGATGCCGTACTCACAGTTGATACCCTTCACCTATTCTGCACTCCCCCAGTTCCTTTTCCCTCTTGGGGTCTCTTTATAAGGGTACTAATCCTATTCATGAGGGCTCCTCCCTCATGGCCTTATCACCTCCCAAAAGCCATCATGTTGGGGGTTAGGCTTTCAACATGCATTTGGGGTGTGGGGCAAACACAAACATTCATTTAGTCCATAATAAGGGGATATATATATTTCCAAGCAGCAGCCTGTTTATCATCTTTCTCTAGAATTGACCACACGTTTCATACTTAAGTCTACATGATATACCCATGAGATGTAAACGTGTTTTTAATATAATATAGTCACAAGGGCCGACCACAGTTTTTGTTTTCATGGCACTTGTCCAGTTTTTGCTGTAGTAAATTGGAGGTCAAGGAACATCTGAGTAGTTAAGACTAATGGCACTTAGAGGCCTGTTTGGTAACATTCTGATGGATACCAGTGTAGGGCAACATGGGTGGATTTAATTTTGTGGAAATTTCAGAGTATAAATTTTTCTATGTATGGTTCTGATTGCATATTTCCCTGTAATAGGCACAGTCATTAGCTATCTAGTTGTTAGTCTTTCTGCCACTTTCATATCAAACTCCTTTGAACTGCCACTTATCAATACTAATAGCTTTATCTCCCACCCTCGTGTTAAAGGAGGGCAGACCTGCCTTTATAACGTACTACCTGTTCCCCTTGCTACTGGCTCTCTTGTCCTTTGATCTATCACCACTTTCTGCTTTAATGTTTAAAAGCCTCGGCATTGGCTTGAAGGAAGTCTGGAGTTAAAGGCATAAATCCTTTGATCCTGAATCTACAAAACCAGAAGTCTTCCCAGTTCTCCTTTAAGCCCAGAGCAGGGACTTATGAGAGTGGAAGAGTGGTTTACCAGGGTAACCACTAACTATATAAGACAGTCATAAGTCAAAGTAGTAGCTTACGTAAAATAGAAATAACCAACTTGCAAAACCCACATACCTCTTAGTGCACGTTGTCATACAAGTAATTTAAGCTAGCCCAGAGCAGATCGGCTCAGTGGGTTGGAGCATCATCCCATACACCTGAAGATGGGCTGGATTCCCAGTCAGGGCGCTTACCCAGGTTGTGGGTTCAATCCTAGTCAGGGCCCATAGGGGAGGCAGCTGATAGATGTTTCTCACATCAGTGTTTCTCTCTCTCTAAAATCACCTTAAAAGTTTGCTGTTTTTCAAAGTCATCTAAGCTCTGTGCTCATCTAGCTAAGCATCACTGTGACCCAGGGGTCTTCCTTGGCCTCACATCTTTTTCTGCATAACCTTCTCTCATTCTACTTTGCTCCTCTCATTATAGCTATCTCCATTCTTTAGTTCTCTAGTGGGCAGTGGGCAAGGCTGGAGCAGGGCCTTCTGGAGAGCCAGAGTGACTAGCGAAAGCCCTTTCACCCACTGCTGGTTGATAACGCAGGTGTGCGTGCCCAGCTGGTGTGCATGCCCAGTAGCGTGAATACAGTGGGGGAGGTCTGCTTCTGAGGGCAGTGCCTATAACACCGCCAGGAAGCTGTGTGGCTGACAGCTCTTTGCTCTTCCCAGGTGGGTCTGTTTGTGGACTTCTTTGTGCGCCTCTTCACGCAGCTCAAGTTCGGAGTGGTGCAGACCTGTATCCTTTCCACGGTTGCTGATTTTGCTTTTTTATCTAGAAATGAGTTTAACAGTACACATGATCTGCGGAGTGCTATTATTAGCCATTCAGCTTTCTGGTGTTTATCATTGAAGGACACAAAAGAAACACAGGAATAAGTCAAGAGATACTTTCATGGTTGGTAAGACACAAACCAGCAAGATGCCTGCTTTCCCCAGTCAATCGATACTAGTAAATTCAGTGTAGTTCCAGTGAAAATGCAATAGAACTTGAACATTCTCTTCCTAAGTTTGTTTGGAAGAATCAAGAGCCAAAAGTAGTTGAGGTAGTTTTGAATAAGCAGGGGACTTATTTAATTTAAGATACAGTCTTTGGAACAGTGTCACATTGGTCCAGAAACACCCAGTTAGACAGCGGGAAATAGTGAAGAAGCAGAAACTGGCCTGTAGGGGCATAGAAGTGCCCTGAATGGCGGAGCCCTGGTGATAATCAGTGAGGATAAAAATGGGTCATTTACTAAAAGATGCTGGAACATTGGTTAACCATCTGGAAAAACACATAATCAGATTCCTACTTTGTACTAGAAATTAATTCTAGATGGTTTAAAGAGGTACATAGGCAAAGTGAAACGTTAAGAGACTGTATGATGTAAAGAGTAGGGAATCGGCTCTGGCTGGTGTGCTCAGTGGTTAGAATGTTGGCCCTAGCACTGAAGGGTCTCGGGTTCCATTCCCAATCAAGGGCACGTTGCCTGTGTTTCAGGTTCCATCTCTGGCCCTGGTAGGGGCTCAGGCAGGAGGCAACCAATCAGTGTGTCTCTCCCATCAAGAGAGTTCAGAAGGTCTTATTTTCCATATCTTTATTTCTGAGTAGACTGTAACAACATGAAATCTTGCATATAAGAAGATAGCTTTTAAAAAAAAAACACCACAGAAACAAGCAAACAAAAACCCCTGCAGTGAATAAATGAATACTCTGAAAAGGGTGGACTGGGACATGGGCCTTAGAATCTTCTCTCACACTAACCCAGCATAGCAAATGGGCTCTGAGTGGCACAAAGCCCAAACAGCAGAGACAGAGGATTCCTTATGTTCATAAAACAGTGAAGAGCAAACTAAGTCCCCCAGAGAAGAAAGCAAGCAAAGAACATCAGTAACCCAGTTACATTACAGATAAGAACTTTAGGAGTTCCCAGTGGCTGATGCCTTGAGAGGGAGAGCAGGAAGTGTCCCCAAGGCTAAGAATTCTTGGCAGCTGCTAGAAAGTTCCTGCAGCCCCTGCACAGGTCAGCCTGCCACAGGCAGCTGGAGTCCCTAGCAAAATAGGACATGTCTCATCTTTAAACAAATTAAACCAAACAAAGACACAAAACAACAGCAGAGACACACTATGTACAATGTTTACAGGTGTGCCCAGCCCACAGATACACTGTGCTCCTTGTCTGTCCAGCCACAGAAACCTCGGAATGCCCTGCGTTTAAACCTGGCCAAGGCAGAGCAATGTCTCATCCCAGAGTGGATCAAACGGAGGGCTCGGAGACCGCTGGAGGTCCGTTGCCATCAGGAGCTGATCAGGCTGACCCAGGGGAGAAGCAGTAAAATGCCTCCTGTGCCATACACGGTGCTGCCTTACGCAGTGCAAGCCCAGACCAGAGGAAGCCACTGCTTCTTGGAAAACATGCTTGATTCCGTCTCCCAAAACGCTTGGTTCAACTTAGGTCTCAGGTGAGACGACGGGGATTACTGAGCCTGAAACTCAAAATGAACAGCCCTGGCAGCGCTGCAAATGAGTCCGGGCCTCAGCCCCAGGAACCCGCAGTCCAGGCAGCAAGCGTACTCACTCCAGAGGAGTCTCTCGCTTACGTCCCTTCCTGGTTGCCAGAATATGCAACTGGACAATCGGTGGGTCCGGGCTGCCTGTCACTACTTGAGCCAATTAGGCAGAGACAGGGTTGAATCATAACATGAGCGTTTATTCAATACCACCAGTATTATGGGAGAGCACCAAGTCATCCACAAACATCTGCTCTCTCACTGTTTTGATTTAAAAAAAAAAATATTGATTTTTTACAAAGAGGAAGGGAGAAGGATAGAGAGGTAGAAACATCTATGAGAAAGAAACATCAATCAGCTGCCTCCTGCACACCCCTTACTGGGGATGTGCCTGCAACCAAGGTACATGCCCTTGACTGGAATTGAACCTGATACCCTTGAGTCTGCAGGCTAACACTCTATCCACTGAGCCAAACCAGTTAGGGCTGTTTTGATTTTTAAAAGGACCTGGAGCAAATATGCTATCACCCTGATCCTCATTATTATTTTTTAAAATATATTTTATTGATTTTTTAAAGAGAAAAGGGAGAAAGAGAGAAACATCCATGAGAGAGAAACATCAATCAGCTGTCTCCTGCACATCCCCTACCAGGGATATGCCTGCAACCAAGGTACATGCCCTTGACCAGAATCAAACCTGTGACCCCTCAGTCCACAGGTTAACGCTCCATCCAAACCGGTTTCAGCCACCCTGATCCTTATTAAAGGTCAGGCTGGGAAGGGATGGGTGATGGTTCCTTTTCATAATGTTGGAAGCATTTCATAAGGAGAAATGGTGCCTGGTGTAGGCGACATCTCAGGCAGTTCCTTGTTCACACACGGAGGCGTGGAGAACAGGAGGAGGCGCAGTAAGCCTTTCAGCAGAGGAGGAGCTGCCAGTCAGTGTGTGCAGGAAAGGCCTTGGCTTCGCTGGGGAACACGGCTCCTTAACTCACTCTCTAGCGGTGGAGGAATGCAGCCACAAAGGGTGCCTCGCCTTGTCCCTCCTTGAGCTCCTGGGTTTCAACTTGACCTTTGTCTTCTTAGGGAGTCTTCTCGTCCTGATTGAGGTAAGAGCCTTTTTGTTGTCAAGACTTTGGGTCCTACACTCCTTATCTCCATTGCCATGGCTGGGAGGCCAGAGAACTGAATTAGACTTGGAATATAGATTACTGCAGACAGTGGTCTCTTGTTCACTTAGAAATGTTTCTGAAAGTCACGTTTTAGCCTGCGGTGAGATTAGAGAGCAAACATCTAGAGGAGGAGGGTGGTTCTCCACCTTGGGGAGCACATTAGGATAGGATCCCCTGGAGAACTTTAAGAATGATTGGCACCCGGGCCCCAGCTCACGTGAGTGAGATCAGGATCTCCGGAGGGGGTGCCTGCATGAAAAGTTGAAGGGCTCCACAGGTGATGCTGAGTCACTTTTTAGAAATGCATGTCCTCCCATCCCCCTCAGACCTGCCGAGTCAGAAACCCAGGCCAGCAGGTTGTCCCTCCGGGGAGGCGATGGGTTTGAGTGTGTGGCTGTGCCTCCTCTTCCAGCCTGTGGCAGCAGGTTCCGGGATCCCCGAGATCAAATGCTACCTGAATGGGGTGAGGGTGCCCGGAATCGTCCGTCTCCGGACCTTGGTCTGCAAAGTCTTCGGGGTGCTGTTCAGCGTGGCCGGAGGTAAGGGGGGTCTTTCTGACTACTTTCCTTCAAAGGGTGAAGAGGACAAAAAGCATTTTGCATGTAAATGAAGTAGATTTGGACGTGAGGGCTTGCCCTTAGCAGATCTCTGTACTTTCTGACGAGGGCTGAGTTATTTAAGTGCAGACCTGCTAGTTACCATTCAGCGATCTCTGAGTAACTCATTAGGTTTTGCAGTAGACCCACCATCCACTTGTTTTATGGAGTTGGCTTTTAGCAGGGTCAGTGAGCTTTTTGTGTAACCAGCTAGATAGTCAATGTTTTAGGCTTTGTGGGCCAAAGAGGCAACATTGAAAATATTATTTAGGTGCTTAAACTTACATAGTCATTTAAAACATACCCATGTGAGAATGGAAAAATTATTCTTAGCTCACCAGCTGTAAAAAACAGCCAGCCGTTGGGCCCACAGCTGTAGTTTGCTGATGCCCAGTTGAGAGATTAAAGAGTATTTCCTCTTATTCGATGGGAACTTGACTCTCCCTGTTAGATAGTCACAGGAGCATCTCTGTTTTCTCGAGAGAAGATTTACACAGCAGAGGCCTCCGAGCTAGTGTGGGTCTGTGCTGACTGACGGTCTCCTTTCTCCACCTCTCCCAGGGCTCTTCGTGGGGAAGGAAGGCCCCATGATCCACAGCGGAGCCGTGGTGGGCGCGGGCCTCCCTCAGGTAAGGGTGATGGGCTGGGAAGGTGAGTCCCTTACAGTGGTCTCCGGGCAGGGGCTTCTGGGAGGCAGTCTGGAAGAAAATCCATCGGCAGCACCCTAACACGACTTTGGAGTTTGGTGTCAGTTTGGGTTGATGTAAAAACTATGTGGCCTGTCTCCTGGGAGAGGGGGTAACTGGTACCCCGGAGTTTTAACTAGTCCTAGGAACAGAAATGAGACATAGAGAACGTCTGTTCAAATGCAAGTCACCTAGTGCTCCCACAGCCATTGCCTGCGCCTCCTGTAAGGTGCTCAGTGGGTCAGCTCGGCGCTGCCCTATCCCAAGATGCTAGAAGCATGTCTGAGGTGGTTCCGGGCACAGGGCTGTGCCGAGTGCCCTGAGGCAGCACAGGACTAATAGCACTTGGGGTGAGGAGCTAGCCCAGGACCCCAAAGCTCCATCCTTACGGGCTGTTCTGGAATCAGGCTGCAGGTTGGAGGCACCTCGGTTCCTTGTGATCCGTCACTTGTGGGCATGTTCCTCTCTCGTCCTGAGAGGAGGGGATGATGCCAGTGAGCGGTCAAAGCCAAGGAGAGGAGGCTCTCCCACAGCCCATCTTCTGCTCTCTCTCTGCTGCCTCACCCTCAGCCAGCCCCCGGGCTCCCCGCGTGAGCCTTTGGTGGACAAGTTGAAGGTGGCGCTTGTGCCCTTCCTTACCGCCACCCCGAGCAGGGCTCTCTTTACCTCCGCAGCAGCTTTCACTTCCACCCGCCCTTCGCTCAGCTGTTTCCTTCCCGTTTTCTCTCTGACTGATCGTGTACAAAATAGTTTCTGAAGAGCATAGCAATTTAGGGGCAGGAAAGGAAGTTCTTCCCAGAGACAGTCCTTTTCCCAGGCTGCTCTGGACTCTCCCTTGTGGCAGCACATCTGCCAGCCGTGGGGAGGGTCAAGGCGGGGACCCCCTCAGGGTTCCTGCAGGTGGGCCCCCCTCTGACCTTGTTTTCTCTCGTTTCAGTTTCAGAGCATCTCCTTCCGGAAGATCCAGATTAACTTCCCCTATTTCCGAAGTGACAGGTATGGAAAGGTTAGGAATTGGATTTTCTTTTCTTTAAGTTAAATCTATTGGGGTGACATTGGTTAATAAGATTATATAGGTTTCAAGTGTAGATTTCTACGCTACATGATCTGTATATTGCACTGTTTTACCATCCCCCTAAGTGAAATCACCTTCCGTCACCAAACATTTGGCTCCCTTTCCCTTTACTACCTCCCACCCCCTTCGGTCTGGTAACCACCATATTGTCTGTGTCTGAGTTTCAGTTTTATATTCTACGGGTGGGTGAAATCATACAGTTCTTAGCTTTTTCTGATTGACTTATTTTGCTTGGCATAATCTGAAAGTCCATCCATGTCATAAATGGCAATATTTCATTTCTTATGGCTGAGTAGTACTCTATTATGTATATACTAAAAGCCAGGTGCACGAAAATGTATGCACTCGAGGTGGTCCCTCAGCCCGACCCGTGCCCTCTCACAGTCCAGGACTCTTCAGGGAATATCCATCTGCCTGCTTAGGCCCGCAGCCCTGCAGCCCTCGGGGGATGTGCTTGCAGCCATCAGCCCAGCTTGTGGCTGAGCAGAGCTCCCACTGTGGGAGCACACTGACCACCAGGGGGCAGCTCCTGCTTTGAGCATCTGCCCCCTAGTGGTCAGTATTTGTCATAGTGACTGGTCATTCCACCCTTAGGGTCAATTTGCATATTTCAATTCGCATATTACCCTTTTATTACATAGAATACCACATCTTCTTTATCCAATTGTCTATTGAAGGATATTTGGTTGTTTTCATGTCTTCAGCCACTGAATAATGCTGCAGTGAACATAGGGGTGCATAAATCTTTGCCAATAAATGTTTTCAAGTTTTTTGGTTTAAAAATGCTGAGAAGAAGGATTGCTGTATAATATAGTAACTCTTAATGTTTTGAGGAACCTCCATACTGTTTTCCACAGAGGCTGTACCAGTTTACATTCCCTCCAGCAGTGATGAGGATTCCTTTTTCTCCACAACCTCTCCAACACTTACTATTACTTGTCTTATTGATAATAGAAATTGGAGTTTCTTTTTTTATTCTTTTCTTAAAGGTTTTTTAAAATTGATTTTTAGAGAGGGGGGAAGGGAGAAGGAGAGACAAACATCATTGGCTGCTTCCTGACCACAACCTGGGCATGTGCCCTGACATGCAACAGGCAACCTTTTGGTGCGTGGACTACACCCAACCATTGAGCCACACTGGCCAGGGCAGAATTGGATTCTCGTGAGAAAAATAAACTGTTCATTTACTGCCTCTGAGACCCCATACTTGCTCTAGCCAGCTTATTACCTCCCCTGCTGGGCAGGCTGCATGCAAAACCCGGTGTCAGAAAGAAGGTGGGCTGAGCTACTGTCCTAAAAATAAGCAACCCGGGCCCGGCTGGTCTCTTGGCTTCCACTTTGTCATGACCTAAGGCCTAGAAGTATCTCAGGCAGTGGAGATAAAAAACACAGCCGAGACAGTCCACAGGCGTCCTCTCTAGAGCATCTTTCATACTCCAAAGCCGTGTCCTGGGTCACCGCCTTGTGGCATTTGTGTGTGTGAAACTGCCCCGCCCACAAGGCCCTTGGAATCAGGCCCGGTCAGAGCTGTGGTCTACCTCCCACCTTGGTATTCCTGTGTGTCCTTGTTACCTGCTCCTCTGCACGTCACCAGCGCTTCGGCGTTTTCATGCCACTGTGACCATGGAAGGAAGATCTGGGGAGGGTGTAGCTCAGCGGGGACTGAGCTGGGGCTCACATTCCATCTTCGGAGGAGCCGGGTGTGAGGAGGCCCCTCCCCGTGAGGAGCTCGGGCTGCGGAGTGGGCCTGGCTCTCAGGTGACTCTATTTGTTGCCCAGTTGGTCTGCCTCAGACCCTGACTTCATGGCTCCTGAGATAAAATGTTGGCGGATAAGGCCCTGGCCAGTGTGGCTCAGTTGGGCGTCATTCATGCACCAAGAAGTTGCTAGTTTGAGTCCCCGTCAGTGCACATGCCCAGGTTGCAGGCTCAATCCCCACTTGGGGTGTGCAGGAGGTAGCTGATTGATGTTTCACTCTCACATCAACGTTTCTCTCTCCCTCTCTCTCTCTCTCTCTCTCTCTCTCTTTCTCTCTCTTTCTCTCTCTCTCTGAATCAATTTTTAAAAAACAAACAAACATGGGAAAAGAGGGCCGGAAAAACTGCGTTTTGTGGCCTGTCCAATAAAGCCGTCTGCCTCTTCTCTCCCCAGAGACAAGCGGGACTTTGTATCAGCTGGGGCAGCTGCTGGCGTCGCTGCAGCCTTCGGGGCTCCCATTGGGGGGACCCTGTTCAGTCTGGAGGAGGGCTCGTCCTTCTGGAACCAGGGGCTCACGTGGAAAGTGGTGAGGAGGCCTTTGAAGGAAAACCCTCTTCTAAGCATAACCCCCATTTCAACTGTCGTTCTGACGCGCCCAGGCCTTGGCGTTGGACACCCTCCCTGCCAACGAGGGCCTTTCCCGTGCTTTTCATGTGCACACGCTCCCATCCCCCCCATCAGAGGCCAGTGTCGCCTCTTGATGATGAGCCACCTGGCGTGCAAACGTGGAACTGGTCATCAGGCAGCGGCGGCAGAGCCCAGACTTGAACCCCGACTCCTACCTCGGAGCAGCGCGTTCTTCCTCCCGTGTTCACTCTTCCTTTGGGCACAGGATTCAGTGTGAGCCTGGCTCTCAGTAAACAGTTCTTACGGCAGGCTGCTGACCTGAGAGCTTCTGTGGCCTGTGTACAGTTGTCCACATGGTGCCTTCCTCGCAGTGGTTACGGGACGCCTGTGCCGGGCGGGGTTGGCAGGTTTAGGAGGAGGGCAGGGAGGAAGCAGGACTTGGCACTATTGAATGTCCTGTCTGTGTCACCCGTCCCCAGCTCTTCTGCTCCATGTCGGCCACCTTCACCCTCAACTTCTTCCGTTCTGGGATTCAGTTTGGGAGTTGGGGCTCCTTCCAGCTCCCTGGATTGCTGAACTTCGGCGAGTTCAAGGTATGCTTTGTCCTTTTCCTCCAGAATTTCTTCTTCTTTTATTTTTAATAAGATGCATCTCTCTCAAAAATTATTTTTAATAAGATGCAATTAAAAATTTTTATATATATTTTTATTGATTTCAGAGAGGAAGGGAGAGGGAGAGATCAGTGATAAAGAAAATCATTGACTGTCTGCCTCCTGTATGCCCTCTATAGGGAATTGAGCCTGCAACCAGGGCATGTGCCCTTGACTGGAATCGAACATGAGACCCTTCAGTCCACAGGCTGATGCTCTATCCACTGAGCCAAACCAGCGAGAGCCCCCCAGAATTTCTGGCTTGCTCAGTGACAGTTGATCTAAGTAATGTACCAGATAGAAGCAACCAGCAGGGCAGGGGCAGCTCCTGGCGGGCTCTCGGCCCCTCCAGCCTCCTGTGGGTGCCCCTGCCGGGAAGAGAGAAGATGGCCTCCCCTCCTGTGTCTGTCTCCGCTTCCGTCCCTTCCCATCCTCATGGGCGCCTGGTTTTCTCTCCCTTTCTCTCAGTGCTCTGACTCTGATAAAAAATGTCACCTCTGGACAGCTGTGGACTTGGGTGTCTTCATCGTGATGGGGGTCTTTGGGGGCCTCCTGGGAGCCACATTCAACTGTCTGAACAAGAGGCTCGCAAAGTACCGAATGCGAAACGTGCACCCGAAACCCAAGCTCGTCAGGTACCTGCGCAGCCGCCTCCCCAGCCTGCGGGGCTCCCCGAGCTCCCGGTGGATGGGCCGTCTCCCCACACCAGCTCTGGTTTCACACCTGAGACGGTAGAGGGGGTCGTGTCCACTGTATTTGTCAGGCCTAAAGGCTGAGTCTGAGCTTCATTCATATGAGAGCTGCTGGTTGCCCCCCCCCCCCCTGCCAACTTCCTCTAGGACGTGTGACAGTCAGAAAGGTCAGTGTGAAAGGCATTTTCTTCCCTGGAGAGAGATGATGTGGACGCAGCAGCCATGTCCCTGCCGCCCACTTTTCCCGTAGGAATTGCTGGACACAGCACATGCTGACTGGCGGAGGCTCCTGCACATGCTCTTTGGGGAGAAAGGGGCTAGGGGTCGGCGGGGTTGTGCATTTGTGTCTTATTACCTGTAACAGCTGTCCTTTGTTTCCTAGAGTCTTAGAGAGCCTCCTGGTGTCTCTGGTAACCACTGTGGTGGTGTTTGTGGCCTCCATGGTGTTAGGAGAATGCCGACCGATGTCTTCAGGTCAAATCGGGAATGACTCGCTCCTGTTCCAGGTAACCCCGTTCCTCTGAGTATGGAACCTGCGCTCTGCTTTTCATGGAAACTGATTTCCAACGGGTGCTCTGGAGCTTCTCAGTGCATTGACTGCAGGACTTTCCAGAGAGCCTTCAGGACTGGTGTTCCTCCTGGAGTAGTTTGGGAACCACTGCATGTGTGTCTTCTCAGCTCGGTTGCTGTTCTAAGCACGTTTCTCCTTTGCCAGCTCTTCCTGCCATGTTCCACCACTAGGGGGCACTCTCCTATTTCCTACGGCAGCCTGCATCTAACCGTGTTGTCCAGCCCAGTTCACCTGCTAGACTTATACAGCACCCAGGCCACCTAGTACTGTTATAGTGTTCACATGAGGGCATCTCTGCAGTGTTAGCCATAGAATGGAGTCCAGGAGAAGTCTATTCCTTACTGAGCTCTGTAACAACACTTACTTGTATGCACAGCAATAGGTGTGAAGTATACCCCCTACACTATCGGACACCATCAAATAGAAAACAAGAACTTTCATAATCCAGATTCCCTTACCCCTAATGAGGGAGGCAGTACCGGAATTGCATCTTCCTACAAGAGAGAATGTGGAGAGAACGGGAGGTCTGAAATGTGGAGAAGTAATCTCTTCCTAGGCGGGGTTTTGTGCAGCCAGGTGGAGGCTGGGGAGGCAGCTAGGAGCACGGAGTCTGCACCAGTCCTCACGTGCAAGTGGTTCTGCTTCTGCAGCAAACTCAGGACGGAGGCTTTCCCCATTTGGAACCAAAGTCGGAGCTTTAGATCAGGCCGTACCCTGGAAGCTCCTGAAAAGCTGTCAGCTCCCAACCACGAGGCTGTCACCTGCCTCATCTTCCCCCAGTCCCTGTGGTTCCCAGCCAGGCTTCCAGGAGTGTTACACACAAAATCAGCACCGGGAGAAGAGACAGGGTGAAGTCCCTGGTGAATCATCATTATAGTTACAGTTTCATTATGAATGGAAGAGCGCAGGCCCACATCTTCATTCATTCATTCATTCTCAGAATGCAAGGAATCCATTCTCAGGATGCAAGTTGGCCGCTCTTGGGTACAGATCTGTTTTTGCTACCTGTTTAATGTACAGGAAAAGCATGGATGCCAGACTTTTTTGGCCTAGGTGGGGACCTCCCACTTGAAGATTCAAGTGCCCTGGTCAAGTGCTGACCTTGTACTGATTTCCGTTTCTTAGGCCACATCAGAAGATGTGAATTCAAGTATCAAGACCTTTTTCTGTCCCAATGAGACCTACAATGACATGGCCACCCTCTTCTTCAATCCCCAGGAGTCTGCCATCCTCCAGCTCTTCCACCAGGATGGTGAGCTCCAAGGCACCAACCCATCCCTGTGTGGATGGGTTTTTCCCACAGAGAACAAATAGTGATTATTCCTGTGCTCCTCTGCTGGCCCTCAGCTAGAGCCAGGCTTCCCTTTCATTCTGAGCGAAAAACAGGACTTTCCTTTGTAATTCCAACCCAGACAAGATTAGCCTTTCTGCCGCCAGTGTCGGAGGTGACCTGGGTGGTGTGCAGAGGACCTGTGGGAGCCAGGGTGGCCTGGTGGGCATCTGGCACCTGCAGCGGGACTCAGGTCTGTCCTTGCCTTGCAGGTACCTTCAGCCCCATCACTCTGGCTCTGTTCTTCACCCTCTATTTCTTGCTTGCGTGTTGGACTTACGGCATTTCTGTTCCGAGCGGCCTCTTTGTACCTTCTCTGCTGTGTGGAGCTGCTTTTGGACGTTTAGTTGCCAATGTCCTCAAAAGGTACAGTGTGTGTACGTGTGTGCATGAGTGTGCACGTGTGTACATACATGTGCAAGTGCTCGAACCGTAGCCCTGCCCTTCCACCCCGCACGATGCCAAGCCACATTCTTGTTGTCTCTCTTCACCAGCTACATTGGACTGGGCCATGTCTATTCGGGGACCTTTGCCCTGATTGGTGCCGCGGCTTTCCTGGGCGGGGTTGTCCGTATGACCATCAGCCTCACGGTCATCCTGATCGAATCTACCAACGAGATCACTTACGGGCTTCCCATCATGATCACTCTGATGGTGAGCACTGCCTTCTAGGCCACTTTCGGGGTCAGCGCCAAGCTCACCCCACAGCAGCCTCTTTTCAGGTCTTCACTCTGTGTTTCAGGTGGCCAAGTGGACAGGGGACCTTTTCAATAAGGGCATTTACGACATCCACGTGAACCTGCGAGGAGTGCCGCTTCTGGAGTGGGAGACAGAGGTGGAGATGGACAGGTGAGGCCAGGCGGTCTCTTCACATCCGAGGGCCCAAGGAATGAGGGTGGGAAATGGTCACTTAGAATCTTGGGTTAGAATGAAGTGAAACGGGGTCATTGGAAGAGCAAGTATGTGTGGGAACAGTGAGCAGTTCTGTGTGGCTGGGAGCGGGGCCAGGGCAGGGAGGGCAGGACTGATGCATGGCTTTGTGTGGGTCCTGTGTTCTGGTTCAGAAGGAAGTGAGGGCTGTGCATAAAGTCTGTGTTAGACTTGAATGTCCAAATGAAGGGCTTGCTAGCCCTGGCTGGTTTCCTCAGTGGTTAGAGTGCCTGAGGACCAAAGGGTTATGGGTTCAATTCCTGGTCGTCCCCACCCCATTCAGGACATGTGTAGGAGGCAACAGTCGATGTGTCTCCCTCACATCAGTGTTTCTATCTCCCCTTCTCCTCCTCCTTCTTTTTCACTCTAAAAATCAATGGAAAAAACATTTTCAGGTGAGGATTAAACTAAGGTTCTCCTAGCCTGCCTCACGTGTGCCTAACGAAGTCGCATGTTATAATCACCAAATTACCCAGCAGCCCACAAATGGTGTGGGCCTCCTACTTCTGGGTACCACACAAGTCCCCTGTGGTCGAACGTAGGGTCATCAAGCTCTGTAAAGGGCCTGATAGTCAATGTTGTCAGCTCTGCAGGCGAGTGGGCTCTGCAGTCACCAGCTCTGCTCTGGCGATGCAGGGGCAGGCATAGACGGTATCTAGACAAGGCAGGCAGGGACTTGACCTGTGGCTGCAGCTGCCATCCTGGTCTAAGGGGCACCAAATGTTTTTTTTTAATTTTAATAGTGTAATTACCAATTCAGTGTGATATGGGGAATGTGCCATGGAGTGCTGAGGAGGGGCGGGGTTTGTGGTAAGGGGGCTTCTCGTGTTGAGCCGAGGGACGAGTCCAGGCCCACCCATTGGTCAAAGCGGGGAAGGGCGTTTCCAGCCTGGGGAAGGGCATGTGCGGACAAGGTAGCTCAGGAGGCGCCAGGAGAGCCAGGGCAGCCCATCGCATCTGCTCCCGGGTGCCATGGGCTCCAGCCTGAGGCTGATGGCTTCCCTCCTCCCCAGACTGAGAGCCAGTGACATCATGGAGCCCAACCTGACCTACGTCTACCCGCACACCCGCATCCAGTCGCTGGTCAGCATCCTGCGCACCACTGTCCACCATGCCTTCCCCGTGGTCACTGAGAACCGGGGCAACGAGAAGGAGTTCATGAAGGGCAACCAGCTCATCAGTAACAACATCAAGTTCAAGGTGAGAACACAGCCGAGGGGAGGGGCGGGTGACAGGTGGTTCCGTGGCGCTCACACTGACTGGTGCTCGTCACGCCCCACAGGGGGGGTGGCTCTAAGGAGAATCAGTAGCCCTTTAGGTGCAACAGTGAGTGTAGATGTGACAGCAAGTGTGGACTCCGTGTGATCATCAGGGCATGTCCATTCTCCTAGTAAGCACGGGGATAAGTTTGTTCTGTTTTTAAGTGTATTTTTATTGATTTCAGAGAAGAAGGGAGAGAGAAATAGAAACATCAGTGATGAGAGAGAATCATTGATCAGCTGTCTCCTGCATGCCCCACACTGGGGATGGGAGCCTGCAACCCAGGAATCGAACTGTGACCTCCTGGTTTATAGGTCAGTGCTCAAACGCTGAGCCACCCCAGCTGGGTGGGACAGATTTGTTTTTAACCGGCAGTCTTCGGGATTCCCGCACGTTGGATCAGCGAGGGTTCTAGAGTTGCCAACCACAGAAGTGGACTTTGCCCTGCTTACGAGAGGAAAAGAAATCCATTGGAAACTGCAGGACCGACAGGAAGTGAAGGAGCCAGAGCGGTGTGCTCGGGCATGCAGGCGGTGAGGGGACCCTCTGAGAGACCGGGCCTCGGAGCTGCTGTTCACTGTCCTTGGGATGCTCTCGGATTGAAATCCAAGCAGAGGGAGAGGCCCGTTGCCTCACCTGGTCCTGTGCCCACCCCCGGGCTTGCTGGAGAGAGGGTTTGTTCCCCACTGGAGAACTGAGATGCTTTACCAATTCAAAGAGCAAGGACGTTGGGCCGGCAGAAACCACTGGGTCTGCAACAAGCCCTGTAGTGCCCAGAGGCTCCTGTGCACCGGCCCGTGGCCACTGCCAGCGTTTCTGGCAGTTCCTGTCGGCATGTGCTTCTATCCTCACTGCCCCCCAGTCCTTAACGCTGAGGCAGGGCTGTGTTGGTGTGCCTGCGTGCCATTGTCACCCCTCCCCATCCACAGAAATCCAGCATCCTCACCCGAGCCGGCGAGCAGCGCCGGCGCAGCCAGTCCATGAAGTCCTACCCGTCGAGTGAGCTGCGGAACATGTGTGACGAGCACGTGACCTCAGAGGAGCCGGCCGAGAAGGAGGACCTCCTGCAGCAGATGCTCGAGCGAAGGTGAGCGCGCAGTCCTCCCACCGCGCAGGCCCAGCAGCCTCTGCTCGGACGCTGCTAGGTAGCCCCGAGTTTTTTGGGATTTGGGGGGGTGGGTCGAGACGTGGGTGAAACGCGATCCTGCTGAGGGTATACTAGGCAGCGTCTGGTTTTTATATAACAGATACACTCCCTACCCCAACCTATACCCTGACCAGTCCCCAAGTGAAGACTGGACCATGGAGGAACGCTTCCGCCCTCTGACCTTCCACGGCCTGATCCTGCGGTCGCAGCTGGTCACCTTGCTCATCCGAGGAGTGTGCTATTCTGAAAGCCAGTCGGTGAGTGTCTCCTGCCCGCACCGGCATTCCGGAGGGCAGGAGGGTAGACGCACACCTCCGCCTCAGGGAGAAGGGGAGACACGGAGTCATGTGCCAGCAGCTGCTCAGGGGGCGCCTGCTGCCCCCGCTTCCCTGTGCTGCAGTCGGTGTCCTCCCGGGGTCACCAGCAGGGGGTGTGAGTCCCCCCCCCCGCCTTCTCCACGCAGCCTCTGCACCTGTGTCAGGCATCTACCAGCCTGCAGGCTTTCCGCAGTCTCCGCATTTTAGTTTCTGGTGTGCGTGAACCTTCTTACCTATGTTTCCAGAAGTCCCTTTTCTTCCCGTGAGCTCCCCTGTAGTTTCTTTTCCTCTTTTGCTTGGTTTTTGTAGAGATAAGCTGGGGGCGGGTGTTGTTCAGAGGGGTCCCGCTCACTCACACACTCACCCCGTCAGGTGGAGCCTGAGAAAGGAGCCTGAAAACGCTGCCTGGAGACCTGGTTTCCACGCTGGCTCTCCTGGTCCGGGTCTTGTCCTAGGGGTCAGCCTCAGGTCACTCGTGGCCCAATGGCCTGCAGAAGAGCAGCTGCCAGGACAGGGCAGGGAGGGCCGCGGTGCAGAGCTGGGCCCGGAGCGTGTGGTCTGTGGGGAGGACCCGCCTGGCTGGGAGTTGGGGACAAGGAAGTGGAAGCGTGAAGCCAGATGACAGAGGCCTCGCCTGCAGGCAGGAACCAGCCAGAGCTGGCTGGTGCAGCGCTGGGAGGCAGTGGTGCACGGAGAAAGCTGTGTCAGGTGCAGTTAGGGGAGGAAGACGGGACAGCAGTGACCGGTACGTGTGGTCACTTGTCCTGGCCCAGGTGCCCAGGGGCAGCAGCAGAGAGACTCGGCATGGAGGAAAGCAGCAGCTGTTGTCTGTTTGCTGTGCCGCTGTGTCCAGTTGCCACTAACGTGGCTTCAAACCAGTATGCTTTTCATAGCTTTCAAGGCCAGAGCACAGAGTCCAGGTGCCGGCGGGGCCACGCTCTCTCTGGCGGCTCCAGGGAGATCCTTCCTCGCCCTCCTGGTCTATGTTGGCGCCAGTGGTCCTTGACATTCCTGACTGCAGACCAGTCACTTCCCCCCACACCCCATCATCATCACCTGGTCTTCTTCCTGTGTCTGCTCTTTGAATAAGGACGGTAGTCATGGGGTTTAAGGCCCTCCCCAACCCAGTAGGACCTCGTCTGACCTTGATCACATCTGCGGAGCCCTGGTTTCCAACAAGGCCACATTCACCGGCACCAGGGGTTGGACTTGGACATCTCTTTTGGGGGCACACAAATCAACCCCCACAGCTACTGTTAGACTTTCTCCTTTAGACTTCCCTGCCCATGTCCATTTTACCGGTGAAGGAAAGGAGAGTTTGGGGGGTTAGGAGGCTTGGCTGGGGGACACAGCTGGGAGCAGGCTGGGAACTGGCTCTGGATCACTGTGTCTCACTCCAAAGCACGTGTTCCGGCCACTGCCCTGCCCCCCTCACTCTGGGGACCGTGGCTGGGTGGATACAGACCGGACGAGGGAGAGGCTCTCCACATGACCCTGCCTGTTGCTGTGCTCGCTGCAAGGACAGTGTCTTGGTTGGGTTTGCAGAGCGCCAGCCAGCCGCGCCTTTCCTACGCGGAGATGGCGGAGGATTACCCACGGTTCCCTGACATCCACGACCTGGACCTGACGCTGCTGAACCCGCGGATGATAGTGGTGAGAGGGCTGTCCCCTCTGTAGGCCGGGAAGGACCGCTCTGGTCGGTGCTGGTTCGCGTCCCATCCGGGTTAGGGCAGAGCTGGCCGCAGGAAACTCCAGTTGTCTTTCCTCTGCAGGATGTCACCCCGTACATGAACCCGTCACCCTTCACCGTGTCCCCTAACAGCAGCGTCTCGCAGGTTTTCAACCTGTTCAGGACCATGGGGCTGCGGCACCTGCCGGTGGTGAACGCAGTGGGAGAGGTGAGTGAGTTCAGGGGGAGGAGGGAGCACCCGCAGGCCCGTGGTAGCCCAGCCTCGCCCCCGCCCCCTCCCCACCTTCGGGAGAGGACCCTCCAACCACAGAACCCAGCAGGGAGGGCCCTAGACCAAAACCTCCTCTGAGCCCCCACCAGGAGTGAGGAGGGAGTAGGCGCCTGGAGCCTGGGATAACCACACACTTTCCCCCTTTGCCTTCCGTTTCTTATACGCTGTCTCCAGCACGGCCAGCAGGTGTCGCCAGAGGCACTGTGGGCTAGGAAAGTCTCTTCTTCACCCAAGACTGGCAACACCTAGGGGGCTGGGTGAGGTGTCAGTTCCCCGGCTGTTCTGGGCATTGTAACGTTAAATGAGAGGCTTTCAAGCCAAATACTGGGGGTGGGAGGAGATGGGGACTGAGAAAGCAGGGAGCATGTGCCCTGGCTGCACAGATGACAAATTCAGATGGTCACCTGCCGGACCACAGCCCATTGGCCTCCCCGTTAGGAGCCCTAGTTATCTGTGCATCCTGTTCCACAGAGGTCAGGTGACCTTTGAAGTGAGTGTCATGATGTCTGCGTACAGGACCCCGTCTGTCCTCCACCTCCTGACAGGCTGGGCCAGCGCTGTCCTCCTGGGCTCGCCCCCTGTGTTGGACTCGGCAGGTGACTGGTCTTTCTCTCCTTGCCTTAGATCGTTGGGATCATCACCCGCCACAACCTCACGTACGAATTCCTGCAGGCCCGGCTGCGGCAGCACTACCAGACCATCTGAGGCCCGGCCTCACCCACGGGCCAGCGCCCTCCTGGACTCCGGGGAGCAGCTCTGGTCCCCCACGGCTGGGGGCTGCCCCAGGGCACGGCAGAGCCCCGTCACCCCTCGCGCGGAAACCTGCCGTCATCGAACACTTGCTGGTCTAGATCCTGGGGATGGTCTGACCGTCAGAGTTTGGGTTTGTCTGACTTCCTCAGCGAGCATCTTCCCGCTTCCCGCTCCCCGAGCTCCGGCCATCCAGGGCGGCACAGGCTTCAGCCCCTGCCCCACGATGCCGGGACCCGAGAGGGAGTGACACCGAGCAGTGTTCTGCCCCTCCACTGCTTTCCCGGGGGACCCCGCTCTGCCTTAGCCGCGAGGGAGGGATGTGGACACGGCAGGCCCTGGGGAACGCCAGGTGGAAAATGACGTGAAGGACTGGCTCCGGGCTGGGCACTGAGAAGATGGCCTCGTTCAGGCGGCCTTCCTCCGCGCTCCCCCTGTCTGCAGGCTCCCGGAGGGGGTGTGTGCTGCTTCCGGGCGTGAGCTCAGCTCTGCCCTGTGGCTTCAGTCTCCTTAGAACCCCCCGTCCCCCAAGAAGCACGAAGCATTAACCCCACTAATCGTCCCTGAGCAGTGGATCTGACAGTGGGGCCAGCTTTACATCTGCCCTGGTTTTTAACATTTCAGCTTTCTCTCCACTTCCCAAGTGACGCATGGTCCCCGGGTGACGCATTTTTACCCCGATTTGCCCCTGCTCCGTTCTCCTCCACGGAATCCCTAAACTCCCCACATTTGCCTGCGTCTTCCTGTAAAGCCCAAAGGGTCCTGAGGCACCCCCCCCCCCAACTTAATTAAGTAAAAGCAGGTCCCCCAAGTTAACTAAGAGCGGGCTCCCCCTCTCCTCCCCCCCAGTTTAACTAAGAGCAGGTCCCCCAGTTTAACTAAGAGCAGGCCCCTAGGTAAACCGCTGGTCTCTGGAGAACGGTACGGTTACTTCCAAATGGGAAGGAGGGAGTCTGAGCCAGCGACCGCCACGAGGTACGAGATGGCGGCTTGAAATGCCCAAGTGCGGCGATGAAGCAGATGCGTGTGCGAGGACACAGGTGTCCGCACCCCACAGGCCCCTGTCACTTCCCACTGCCAGCCCAGCCTGCTGAGGCGCTCAGCAGTGAAACAGGATGCTTCCTGCCAGCACGTGCCCGGGGCTTTGGCATCAAACCCGGGCAGGCAGCCTCCCTCTGTCAGTGGCTCAGCTTCTCCGGGCGGCCGGGCCTCTGGGCGTCGGCGTTTGCTCTCACTGGCCTCTGCTCTCCACGATGAGCAGCATCCGGGCCATCAGGAACCCGGGCAGGTGGGCTTGGCCCTCGAGGTGGCATCCGTTGGCGTCTCATTTTCTCGTGCTTCGATCTGGGAGTTGCCTGAGGGCGTGCTGCCTGGCGGTGGCCACACTTGTCGCCCTCCACCCCTAGGTGATTTTGGTGGAAAGACCCTTTCCAGGGGTGGGTGTCCGTCTGCTCTGCCCGCCCAGGTCTGGGCTCAACACGCTCAGTGAGCAACCCGCTCAGTGAGGGGCCTTTCCCAGCAGGTGGCCTCCGCCCCATCTTCCCCCCTCGACCAGAAGTACTCTGCGGTCTGAGCGTGTCCGCTCGCTGGAGGCACTTGGTGTGTGAAACATGATGAAGCCCCAGTGCGTTGTTGGGGAAATCACAAGGACCAAAGAGGCCAGCCCTTCTCAGCGTGGTGTGAGCAGCCGCCACTTTGCTTCCAAGTGTTCAGAGCTTGCCCGCAATCATCTTCCTTCCGTGACAGAGGAAGCCAGGCGCACGTCAGGAGAATGGCGTGACCTCCTCACAGGAACTTGACCCTCTTCCCAGCCCTCCCTGAGGGGGGCCAGGCCAAGTTCTTAGGGGGTCCGCGGGGCCTCTCGTCCTGGGCTGGGTCCCCAGGAAACGGCCCTCATGCACATCGCGTTGCTTTTAAGGCACCGGGCACTTGTTCCCTTCAGTGGAGCCCAGAGATATACAACAGAACGCAAATGCCTCCCCTCCGCCCCTCCCCTCCCCACCCCCGAGTCGGCTGGACGGCTGCCAGGGAGGGCCAGACCCAGGCCCCTCGGGAAAGGGGCTTCCTGTCCCCTGTGACGGCCATCCTCTCCTGGTGCCCAGAGAGCCATGCCCACTCCTGTAAGCCTGCTCCTCGGAAGTCTCAGAAACCTGCGTTTCCAGCCTCACCCGGTGCCAGCAGCCCCGGGGGCTCTGGGATCTGGTCCTCCATAAACGGCCGCACAGGCTCCGGGCGTGGCTAGCGGTGGCTGTGTTTGGTCTCTGGTGTTTCGTGGTCCCTGACTGCCGGCAAGGAAGGTGGGGTAGAGGCCCCACGGCTGCAGGACTTGCACTCAGAGGTGATTTGCTCATGGCCTTGTTTAACGAGTGGCTCCGGGCTGGAATGGACATGGCATGTCCGGTGCGATCCCGCCCTCGGTGTCGGAGTGGCTGGCGGCAGTAACGTTTGTGTGCGGGATTGCACGCCAGCTGCGGGCCCTGGCGTGTGGACAGCAGCAGCTTCCTTTGTTGTGTTCGCACTGTTTGTTTATATGTAACCTTCGCTAATTCCATGTGTATATAAATTGTATTTTTTTAATTTGTAAAATCCTATTTTTATTTGAACTTTTAGAACTTGGAAGTTCTCATCATAACCTTACCACGTCGTAATAAAACGTCTCCATCGGTCTTAGCCAGTCTCCGTGGCGTTCTTTAGAGGGGGTTTTTATCTTACCCCCCTCACTATCTGTGAGAGTGGCAAGCCAGGAAGTGGCTTCATAGTCTCAGTTTCTTGCAAGGCTCTCCCCTCACGGGTCCTCTCATTGCCTTGGAGACCAGGCGGTCCTGTGGGTCCTGGCAGACACAGCCACGTCGCCCCTCCTCCAGTCTCTTCTCACTCGGACCTAATGACTGATGCGGGTCTTGTAAACACTGCTGCTTCCCACCGCGGTAGTGGAGAGCCTCCAGCGGGATCGGAGAGCCCCCGGTGATGGCGGAGAGCCCCCAGAGGTAGCGGAGAGGCCCCGGTGATCGCGGAAAGCCTCAGCGGGATCGGAGAGCCCCAGTGATCGCGGAGAGCCCCCGGTAATAGCGGAGAGCCCCCGGTGATGGCGGAGAGTCCCCGGTGATGGCGGAGAGCCCCCGGTGATAGCGGAGAGCCCCAGTGATCGCGGAGAGCCCCCGGTGATCGCGGGGAGGTCCTGGTGATCGCGGAGAGGCCCCGGTGATCGCGGAGAGCCCCCGGTAATAGCGGAGAGCCCCCGGTGATGGTGGAGAGCCCCCAGAGGTAGCGGAGAGCCCCCGGTGATGGCGGAGAGCCCCCAGAGGTAGCGGAGAGCCCCAGCGGGATCAGAGAGCCCCCGGTGGTCGTGAAGAACCCCCAGGGGTCGCGGAGAGCCCCCCGGGATCGGAGAGCCCGTTTATAGTCCTGTGTTTAGGAATTTGCCCCACAGATTCCCTGAGAGCCAACAGGAAACGAGGCTGATGCTGAGCCTGTAGAGGTTTGGCCGTAGCCGGCTTCGGGTCTTGCCAGAGACGTGCCTTTTTCTCTAATGATCCCCGCATCTCCTGTTTCCGGAGCATTTTCTGTGCATTTGGCACTCTGAGGCGGCCACTGAGTCACGGTGACACAGTGACACGGTGGAGTATGGCCGCTCCCCTCCCGCCCTCCCAGGATCCCTCTCCCCGTGCCTGACCGCAGGGTCTGGGGTGGACGGACGCTGCTCCCATCTCTCCCCTGGTCCTTGCCGGTCTGCTGCTCGGCTTCTTCCCTCCGGTGTGTGCAGTCCACACAGGGCCGTTCTCAGTGGAAGGGGGAAGTCAGAGGTCTTCCTTCGTCTCTGCTCCCTAACGATCACTCACTTCTGCCTTCCCCATCCCGCCCTCCACAGGGAGCCAGTTGCTCCCTTATTACCCCTTTCCCAGTTCCCACGCAGACCAGGACAATCGCACTGATCTTCACTGAGCATTGACTGCCGTGTGTGTGGGGTGCCGAAGGCGCATTCACCCTCACAGAGCCTGCAACCCAGGGACAGACACAATTGTACCAAAGCAAACTGTCCTATTATACTAGCTACGCAGCCTGGCCAGTGTGGCTCAGTGGCTGAGCATCAGCCTGTGAACCAGGAGGTCACGGTTCAATTCCCGGTTAGGGCACAGGCCCGGGTTTTGCAGGCTCGATCTCCAGTGTGGAGCTGCAGGAGGCAGCTGATCAATTATTCTCTTTCCCTCTCCCTTCCTCTCTGAAATCAATACACACACACACACACACACACACACACACACACACACATATATATTAAAGACCCAGTGCACGACATTTGTGCACTGAAGGAGGGGTCCCTCAGCCCGGCCTGCACCCTCTCACAGTTCGGGACCCCTCTGGGGATGTTTGCTTTTCGGTCTAGGCCCGCCCCTAGGCCGGCAGGTGGACATCCACCAAAGGGTCCTTAGTGCTGCAGCGGAAGCGAGAGAGGCTCCCACCACCGCTGCACTTGCCAGCTGTGTGCCCGGCTTCTGGCTGAGCGGCACTCCCCGGAGGAACGCACTGACCACCAGGGGGCAGCTCCTGCATTGAGCGCCTGCCCCGTCGTGGTCAGTGTGCATCATAGCGACTGGTGTTTCTGCCTTTTGGTTGATTTGCATATTAGCCTTTTATTATATAGAATACACACACACACACACACACACACACACACACACACACAATAGTCATACACAAAACACTGCCAGTGAAGTTTAATTTATACTGGCATGTGGTATCAGGGAAGGCTTCAGGGAGGAAGTGGCATTTGCAATGAGCCTTGAGGAAGACTGAGTAGATGTTCCCTGGAGAAAGGGTGATCTGGGTGAAGGAGCAGCATACACAAGGCACAGAGGAGCTGTTGTGTAGGTGTTGGGAGGAGTGTCACAGAAGCTGACCCAGAGAGGGAGGCGTGGTGAGGCGATGGTGGGAAAAGGGGGAGGGCTGCTCCCTGTTGCCAGTGAGCTTAGTGGCTGGTTGTTTCTACGTAGGACACCTTTTCAGAAGCAGATACAACGGAACTGTCTTCTCCAGGGGCTCCCACCTCAATAAGGCCTGCAAGTCCAGCACCTGGGGCCTGAGTTAGTGAAAGGCAATGGCTACTGTTGAAACATGAGTGAGCACCTAAATGTGCATGAACTTGAAGTCTGTCAGCAGAGCAAACATTTCTTCCTTCGCTTTGCTCAGCTTTTATTATTATTGTTTGAAGTATTACAAATAGTAGTACATATGTCTCCCCCCCCCCATTGACCTCCCACCCACCCTGGCCTCCCCTCCCCCCCTGCTCAGCTTTCAACCCCAGTCCTTTGCCTCATCTTCTTTTTTTTTTTTAATATATTTTATTGATTTTGTACAGAGAGAGAGAGAGAGAGAGAGAGAGATTTAGAAACATCGATGAGTCATTGATCAGCTGCCTCTTGCACACCCCCCACCGGGGATATGCCCGCAATCAAGGCACATGCCCTTGACCGGAATCGAACCCGGGACCCTTCAGTCCCCAAGCCGACGCTCTATCCATTGAGCCAAACCGGTTTCGGCTGCCTCATCTTCTTAAAACACTGAGTGCCCCTCACTCATTGCAGCAGCTGTCTCAAATGGCTCAGAAAATGTGGTGCCCGCCTGATAATGTGCCCTTGTTAAAAAGCTGTAACCAAAACGTACCAGGTGGGCAAAAATCCCCTATTGCATGCAAACTACATTGGGTGTAACCGGAGAAAGGAAAGCGTAGATGCTTAAGTTTTCTTTTTCATAGAAAAGGGTCCTGAATAAGAGCAAATCTGAAAAATAAAGGCCCTGTCAGTCTCTTTTTCAGGGGCTTTTTCAGAATCTGTGATGAGGCTGGAGTGAGAGAGCAGGTTCAGACCTGCATTTAAATTCAAACCCCAAAAAATAACAGAGGGAAGGAAGGAAGTGAGGGAGGGAGGCAGGAAGAAAGTAAGGAAGGAAGTTGGAAGGAAGGAAGGAAAGAAGGAAGACATAAATTGTCCAAATCCACAGAATAAACACCAAGAATGAACTCTGTGTAAACTATGGAACTTGGATGACATGACGTGTCCACACAGGTTCATCAGCTGACGAATGTGCCCTCCAGTGGGGGGTGTTGATGGCGGGGAAGGTGGAGCATGTGAGAGCAAGGGGTCCCTGGGAAGTGTGTCCTTTCTGCTCAATTTCGCTGTGACCCTAAAATTGCTCTAGAAACGAAGTTTATTAATTACCTTTAAAAGGAGGAAGAAAGGCACTGAGCATTCTTCTTTCCGACAAAAGGTGAAACGATAAGGAATACCAGGCTGCCTTCTTTTACCCCCAGCCCCTTGCCGGGAAAGAGAAAGAAATCACACCCACACTGCGCTCTCGGCTTCTGTCCGAGGTGCTGAAGTTTATTCATTTTCAAACTTCTTTCCATCACAGGTGAGGAGGCACCGTAAAACTTAATGCACGGGGAGGGCGAGGCGGGGCAGCCACAGGGAAGCCACTTCATCTACATTCAGCATAAAATGTGAGACATGGCGACAGGCAGCAGGAAGAGGGTGCTCGTCACAGCTCCGGTGGCCGGCGATGAGACGGGACAGAGGAGCGGCAGACCCAGGGGGAGGGGGCGCCGGGGCCTGTTGGCGTCCAGGGGGCCCGGCCCTATCTCCGGTACTACAACGGAAACACGGGCACGGTTAGCGCGGCGGCCTGCCTCTCACAGCACAGTGCTCACATCCCACCAGCCCCCGCTTCAGCCCGGCGACCCTCTGAGTTGCGTGAACCGATAAACAAGTCGCTCTCTAGACACTTAGTCATAAGGTCAATCCTGGTCCATTTCAGTCGACCTTTAGGATCTGACAGTTCCGGGGAGGGAACACCACCTGCCAACCAGCAGGATGACGGTGACTTGGCCCCATGGACACGTTAAGTACCCGATGCTCAAGGCAGTGACTTTTTTTTTCCTCGGGAAGCGGTAGCTGAGGAGGCGGCCACAGCCCCTGGGTTCATGGGCCAGGCCCCCCTGTTGGGGCAGACACTTCTAAGGGGGTAGCATCTGTGCCAGTCCCTCTCCCACGGAAGGCACCACCGCAGTGGTCTTCTATGACGAGGCATGAGACTCGGTGAAACCACACCTTTCTCCCCCCCCCCGCCCCGTTTCCACCCCCATCCAGGCCCTCTCACCCGGAAGCTGTTGCAGCCCAGGCCGCTCTGGGCCCCGATCCTGTCCATCCGGCCCCCGAAGCAGCTGGACCTCCGCAGGCTCCGGGGGGCGGCGAGCAGCGCCCTCAGCTTGCTCTTCAGGAGGGCAGACCTGTCGGAGGCGTCCCAGGGGCCCCGCCCCAGGGCCCCCTCCTCCCTCAGGGCTGGGCTGACCTCCCCCGTCCAGGGCGGCAGCTCAGGGAGGGGGCTGAGCGCAGCCCCGGCTTCCTCGTTCTGCTCGCTTAGTCCCTGCGGGGGCATCATCTCGTCTTCCAGAGGCATCTTGTCCTCCAAACGCTCCAGCAGGTTCTTGACGGAGGGAACACACAGGGAAAGAGAGAGGTCTCACTGACCGGCAGAGTCTCCCCACCACCCCTCTCCCCCAGGGCCCCAGACCAAGCCCCTACCTTGAAATCCATCAGTTCGGCGTTGGCCACGGGGCCATACACGGGGTTGGCTCTGGTCTGCCCTGGGAGCTGGACCACCAGGAGGAGGAGGAGGCTGGCGGTGATGGTGGAGCAGGAGCCCATGCTGGCGGCGTTCGGTCGGGGAGTGGTCTGCTGCTGGCTGCCTTCTCTCTCTCTCTCTCTCCTCTCCGGCTCCTCTCCGCTGACCTTCGCTCGGCTCCGGCTCTCAGCTGCCCTGCGCCTCCTCTTTTTATAGCCCCCCCTGGCTCTCGGAGAGCGCAGGAGGGACAGAACCCTCCCCATTCTGTCACTTGCCGCGATAAAGCTGCGGCGTGAGGAGCCAGCAGAAGATGCCCTTTTAAAGTTATCGGCCCGGCCGGCCGGCCGCTCCACCGCCCCTCGCCTTGAGCAGCCCCAACCGCCTCCGGGAGCCTCGGCGGCAGGAGCCACATTCTTGTTGATTTGCCTCAAGAGGCCCCCACTTCAAAGGTGTGAGAAGAGCAAAAAAGAGTCCTTGGTTATCTCGCAGCAATGCGCTGCCGCCTCCGCCTCGCTGCCTTCTCCGGGGCCGCGGGACCATGCCGGGAAGCCGCCCAGTGGGTCTGCGGCTCAGCTGCCCGGGCGCCATATAAGGGTGGGAGAGGAGGAAGTGGGGGCGGCCGGCCCGAGGGACAAATTAGTCCCGATGCTCGATGCTCGCACCTGACTCATCCGCGGCCAGGGCAGAGCGCTGCGGTCCACGGGGCTGCCCTCTGCTGTCAGCGGCCGGGGGGGGGGGGGGGGGGGGGGTTCCTGAGCACTAACTCAACCGGGGACCAAAGGCGATGAACGCCCCAAGGATGCAGCTCCCAAATATGAGCACCAAGAAAAGTCTGGGGAGCCCAGGCATTCCTCTGCCGAGCTCCGCCCCCTTCGCCCCGTGGCCCCTCCAAGGTGCTGAGGGAGACAGGCCCGGAGCAGCGAATGCCTCCTTTCCTGTCGCTGCCTGGAGCAGCTCAGATTCTTTGAGTCTGAAGCTCAGTCACACTCCCAGGAGGCGGGTGGTATTGTACCGCTGACTGAAGGACGGAACGGAGACTAGGAACTCAGGTCACTTGCTCAAGGTCATGAGCAGCAGAACCAGGACTTGAACCGCAGGCCTGACAGCCTTGCCCATGTCCTCCAGCCTTCTCATGGAGACCGTGGCTCCTTAGCAAGGTGGCTCCTGGCAGGCCCTTGGGTGCAGTCCCTGGTGAAATGCACCCTGTTCCCCTCTCTCGAGCTCCCTCTGAGCGGCACCTCGTCTCCCAGGGGCGTTTGTGGCAGGTGTGCGTGTGTGTGTGTGTGTGTGTGTGTGTGGATTGTCTCCAGGACAGCGCCACATCCAGCCTCCTCGACCTCACTGACACAGCTGACACGTCTGCCCAGGAGCTCAAGAAGTGCGTGTTGGTGACCAGCTTCCTCCCAGCCGGACCCTCCCCAGCTGTGCCTACTCCTTGGCCCACGGGCGGGCAGCGAGAGCTGAACGTGGTGGTGGTTTTATTCTGAGACGGAGAAAGGATCCCTCGTCAGTCACTGGTTTGGGTCGGCCAGCCTCAGCCTGAAATCAAAAGGGGCGTTGCCCTGAGCAGAAGCTCTGGGGGCAAAGAACCGAGGCTCCCTGATGAGCCCTGGAATATGCCCAGGGCTTAATTGCCCGGTTGGCAGGGTTATTATTAGCGAGGAGGGCTCCCACAGCCGTATCCTGGAGATGCCCTTTAGCACGGGCTTTGATCCCGATCGTGGCGGGTGGCCGCTGAGGGCCCACCCTGCCCTGCGCCCTCAGCCACTTCCAGAGTCAGCGGGAGGCCCCAGGAGAAGAGGAAGTCCTGTCCAAGGTTCCGGAAAGAGAACTCAGATCCACCCCCCGCCTCTGACTCCAGTGGGGGTCCCCCTCCCAGAGTGAAGCTGGGATGGGTGTCAGTGCCAGCCGCCAGTGTCAGTTAGCCAGGCTCAGTCTGTTGGTTCACAGAAGGCGCTGGGAGGAAAAGAATGTTTTTGCTGCCCTGAGGACTTTGTATGGAACCAATACTGCCTCCTGCGCTCAGGGGACCCCGAAAAAACACAGGCAGGTCCAGGATACACCCATTCCCCCAAATCCCAGGGCTCCCCGGGGCTTGAGCCTGAAACAGATTTGACATGAAGCTTCTCTTTCTTTCCATGCTCCTGCTCAGTTGGGGGTGGGGTGGGGGAGGGTTTAGTGTATGGAGGAGCAAGTATGTAATGGGGTGTTTAGGAGCCAGCCTGTAAGAGAGAGAAGAGCAAAAGGCACAGAAAACACCTCCACCCCCCGCCCCTCCCACTGGCTGCCAAACCAAAGGCCTTCAGTTCCTCCCCACTGGGAAGAAGCCACGCTGGGCATTGACCGAGTGAACATTGCAAACAGCTGGGAGAATTGGAGTACCCCCCCCCCCCATGGGGATGCTGTGGGCAGCTCTGGGGAGCCCTAAGGTCCAGGGGTGTCACACCTGCATACCTGGCATGAGAAGCCCATCCTATTCGTGGCATGAGCCTGTCAGACCCAAGTGGTCTAACTCAGAAGGCCCGGTTGGGAGAAATGGGTAGGGCACTGATGCCTACGTAGAGATGGGTTGTCTCTGACTCTGAACACGATGTTCTGTGTCTTTGGTTCAATATGGAGGTTCCCGGGATGGGACGCGGGAACAGATCCCCTAGAAAACAAAGCCCCCAAGGCGACATTCATTTGCATAAAGCATTCTGGGGTTCGGGTCCAAGAGGAGCAAGCGCGAGGGGGAAAGGGAAGTGAGGTGGTGTATTCGTCGGCTATTGCTGTGTAACAAAGTACCCCGAACCTCACCAGCGTCAAACAGCACGCCCCGGCTGGTGTGGCTCAGTGGGTTGGGTGTCACCCTGAGCACGGAAAGAGACTGGGAAGCTCTGAGGCTGTGCATGGATCAGATGCAGGACGCTGCCGCATCCCAGCACCTCGCACGGAGCCGGCACCTGCTGCTGCGTTAGCAAAGCATCTGATCGTTCTCTCAATGATTGCATCAGTGAGTTTGCCTTCCGGGCCTCTTGGACACGCCCTGTCCCAGGTACATGCGGGCACCTTGCCCTCCCTGGGGGCCTCACTGGGAGGGGGAGTCACCCTCGGGCTGAAGCATGAAGGGTCTGCTCTCTCCCTGGTGAGGGTCTGAGCCAGGATGGCAGCGAAGGACAAGATGCAGGAGGTGCCCAGAAGGAAGGGGTGGACAGGTGCCTGCCTGGGTGGTTCAGCCCAGAAGGGAGGCCAGGAAGCTTGCGGGGCTCTCACCATCAAGGGTGGGGCCGGGGGAAAAGGCGGAGTCATTCCGGAGTGTCTCCAGAACCTGAGACAAGGACTCAAGCCAAAGTCGTTTTCTTTGGAGCGGAAGCCAGGGACGCCAGGAGAGAGGGGAAGTGACGAGCTACGCAGGAAGTCAGTGACCACCTTGGGCAACTGGAGCTTAATCCTCCCTCCCCGCAGAGAACTCTGGGAGCCAGGTCAGATAGGTCTCACCTGGGGATCCAGGGCGCTGGCCTCTTTAAGTGCCAACGCCTGCCTGATGCTGGGTGAGTGCACATCCTGCCCACCCCAGGGGAGCCCAGTGGGCTCTGGCAGCCAGAGGAGAGTGGGGACTGCTGGCCCTGGCTGGTCTGGTTCAGTGGATAGAGCGTCAGCCCAAGGACTGAAGGGTCCCGGGTTTGATTCCAGTCAAGAGCACGTGCCTCAGTTTCAGGCTCGATCCAGCCCTGGTTGGGGCACACCGGAAGGTAACCAATCCCTGTGTCTCTCTCTCTGTCTCCCCCACTCCTTTCCACTCTCCCTAACAATCAATGAGAAAATGTCCATGGGTGAGGATTAACAAAAAAATATATAATAAAATAGGGGGTGGGGGGTTAGTGGGGGGGAGAAAGTGCGAACTGCTGAATGGAATTGCAGCCGGCGCCCTGAGGCTGAGGGCAGGGACGGTGCTCAGCAGAGGGGAGAGCCCTCGGGCACAGCACTGGGAGCCCAGGACAGGCACTAGTCTGGGCTCAGAAATGCTTCAGGACGCCCAGGCCGCTGCCTGGGGCTGGCTCCTGACCCCTCGGGGGAAACAGGCCACTCGGTGGAATCAGACTGATGGGTAAAGCTGTTCTGCTACCTTTCCTCTCGGGTCAGGGGACGAAGATGAGCCCCTCCCAGAACACCCAGCCAGGCCCTCACAATCCTCCCAGGTGGGCCTGCTCTCCCATCTGGAATGAAACTCCCATCCCACCAGCAAGCCTGACTAACTGGCCTGGGGGAGGCCGGGTGGTGCAGTGGTCAGGGGCCTGGGTGCTGGGGCCCGGCTGGGAGGGCTGGAACCCTGACTCGGCCCCTCACTTACTTCGTGACCCTGAGCAAATTCCATCGCCTCTCTGTGCCTCAGTTTCCCCATCTGTGAAGTGGGAGATAATAAGAATTCTTCGCAGAGCCGTTGTCAGGAACATAGGCGAAGTTGGCTGTTTTATGGATTAATAAGTTGTTCCTAAAGCCTCATTTTATACACTGAGTAGTCAGATTATTATGATCTCTGAACGAATAATAATCTGGCCACTCAGTGTGTGTGTGTGTGTGTGTGTGTATATATATATATATATATATATATATATATATATATATATATATATATATTAGAGGTCTGGTGCATGAATTCCTGCATGGGTGGGGTCTGGCCAGCCTGGCCAGGGGGGAGGGGACATGAGCAGTTGGCTGGCCTGCCTGCTGGTTGAACTCCAGATGTAGGGGACAATTTGCATATTAGCCTTTTATTATATAGGATATACACTGCATTCAGAGATCATAATAGTCTGGCCACTCAGTGTAAATCTCAGTAGATCTCATTAGGCAGCCATGATCTCTGACGCACAGTGGGTTACAGTGAGAAACAGCACAGAGACTCACTGCTTCCTTTTCTCTCAAAGAAACATCGGTGGAACGAACAGAATGACTGTGCGAGTGCAGTTTGATGCCAGAGTTCCAAGGAGGAGCAAGGCAGAGGAGTCCCCAGGATCTGCGCTCACATCTCAGCACTGGCACTGAGCAGCTGCATGCTGATGGTAGGACAGCTTCCTTTTCCTGGTCTCAGTTTTCTCATCTGTAAAATGGGGTTATAATAATCTGCCTCCTTTGCTGCGTTGGATCATAAAAGAAATGGCCCCGGGACCTGAAGAGCAGGTGCAGGCTCAGCAGCGCGGTCTGGGATGCCTAGAATGCAGGGGGGGGGTGCCCCCAGAAGACAGGGTGGGGACCCCTACCGGGACCCCCTGCTGACTGAGGCAACAGGTTGGATTCTGGTGCTTGTCTCCTCTTCTGCCTTAAACAAGGGGCTTCTCTCTCTGGGGCAGAGAGGAAGTGAGGCTGCAGGGCCCAGTGGGGGGACGCCCTGAAATGCTGGGCCTCTTGATTGACTCTCTGAAGCTGGTGGGTTTGGGGAATGAAACTGCTTTAAAACTTGGGTTTTTTTGCCGAAACTGGTTTGGCTCAGTGGATAGAGCGTCAGCCTGTGAACTGGAAGGTCCCAGGTTCAATTCCGGTCAAGGGCATGTACCTTGGTTGCGGGCACATCCCCAGTGGAGGATGTACAAGAGGCAGCTGATCGATGATTCTCTCTCATCAATGTTTCTAACTCTCTATCCCTCTCTCTTCCTCTCTGTAAGAAATCAATAAAATATTTTTAAAAAATAAAAATAAACTTGGGAGTTTTGAAGGCATCTTTCAGATGATGTCATGAATTGAAGGCGTGAAATTGGGGGTTTATGTGAAGATGGAGAGCTCACCCCCATTCAGGAGTGCAAATGAGATGTGTCTTGGCACTTGTGCATAGGCATATGCGCGTGTGCATGTGTGTGTGTGTGTGTGTGTGTGTGTGTGTGTGCATATCACACACACTCTGCCCCCAGGCTCAGAGGTGTTAGCTTAGAACAGTGATTCTCAACCTTCCTACTGCCTCATGTTGTGGTGACCCCCAACCATAAAATTATTTTTGTTGCTACTTCATAACTGTAATTTTGCTTCTGTTAATGTTCGTAATGTAAATATCTGTGTTTTCCGATGGTCTTAGGCGACCTTGCTACCGGTTCTCAACCTGGAGGGTCACAACATAAGAAACTGTATTAAAGGGTCGAGGCATTAGAAAGGTTGAGAACCACTAACTTAGACCTTCTGGAAACGGCAGGCACCAGGGAGAGGGCCTCTGACGGACCCTCAGGCAGAGGAAAGACCGGCGGGACGATGCACGTAAACATCAGGCCCCGTGCTGCTCTTTGGGAAACAGTCTCTGGGAAGTGTCTCAATTGCTTGAGGTATTTCTATACATTTCAGAGCATGAAGACTCTTACAGGAAAAAAGAGCCTCCCGGCCAGCTGGTGTGGCTCAGTGGTTGAGTGTAGACCTATGAACCATGAGGTCACGGTTTGATGCCTGGGGATTGCAGCCTCAATCCCCAGCAGGGGGCATGCAGGAGGCAGCCAATCAATGATTCTGATCGTTGATGTTTCTCTCTCTCTCTCTCTCTCCCTCTCCTTTCCTCTCTGAAATCAATAAAAAATATATTTTAAAAATAAATAGAAAAGAAAAGATAAAAAGCTTCCTCCACCCCCTTGCTTGGCCAGCGCTTGAGGCTGTGTTCCCACCATTAAGACACCTTCGGGGCCTCCAAGAAAACACATAGTTTGGGGTTGTTGTTTGGTGTTTTTGTTGTTTTACGATGAACTATTTTGAATACACTGAGACAAATCAGTTTCCAAAGAAAAAGCTTTAATGTTGACTTTACCTCATCATGGAAAATGAGGGCCCAAAGGTAAGAACCGTCTTATATAAAACAATCCAATAAATTAAGAAATAATAAATAAATAGGAGTTGCTTCAAAGGGGACCAGGGGTCTATGGCGAGTCAGGCGTGGATCTCTGCGGCCAGGACTTCCTCCTAATGCCTCTTCAGCACTGCGGGGGAGAGAGGTGGTGATGTTAGTGAGGGAGAGGGAGAGGGGCAGATCCTAGCTTCTCCCCCAGCGCCATCCCCGCCGCCATGCCCTGCCCCGTCCTCAGCTGATCTGGGTATTTGAGGCTTTGGAATAATCCATCTCGGATTCTCAGTTTCCCGTGAATGGGATTGTGTTCGCCCTGGTGACCCCGCCCTCAGTCTTTGCAGCTACAAACGGGAGGAGAAACCAGGAGGAAATATTTAGGGCTCTCTTTGCTACAAGGAGGGGCTGCCAGGCAGGACTGCCTTGTGGTAACAGCTGCAGGTGGTGGGAGCAGGTGGGTGAGGCTGGTGGGTGTGGTCATGAATGGTGTCCACAGGGAGATGGCCCCAGAAAGGCACCCCTTAGCCCTGAGGCCATCAGCGAGAGGGAGTGATGTCCGGGTGGCCCTTTCTCAGAGTGTGGACCCAAGAGACAAGGTACCATGCAGGCGTGCCTGTACTGGTGGGACCCACGGGAATAGGGTAGGGGGATGCCCAGGGTGGCTGGGTGGGAGCTCACCATTGCAGCCCAGACCCGTGAAGGAGCCGATGCGGTCCATCCTCCAGCCGAAGCAGCCTGAGTCACGCATCCTCTTGGGGCCGCGGAGGACTTTGTCCTGGGGCCCGAGGCCGGCAGCAGAAGCTGCACGTCTGGTCTCCCCGACTGCCTTAGACCCGCGTCCCTGCTGGGGGTGCTCCGGGGCGGCCTGCTCCTCCTGCAATTTCCCACCTGTGCCCAGAAGATGGTCCGGCGACTCCTGCAACAGATGGGAAGAGCCCAAACCTCAGGAACCCTCACCTGAGCCCAGCCACCCTTGATGGTGCCCAAGTGAACTGACCCCTTGGGCACAGGGTCCTGGCTCCCAGTCTTGCCACTCTCTGGCTCTCAGGGTGACCTCTGTGAGGGCAGGCGAAGAAGGCCTGTTCATTTCAGCTGCCTGGTACCCAGTCCTGCTGCCTCTGTGCAGTCCTGCACTGCTCACCTGGGCTCCGGACAGTTCCGAGTGGGGGGCTGGGCTGGGGCCACCCAGCGGGTGCGAACGACCTAGCAGCATCAGGTGCAGGAACAGAAGGAGTAGGAGAGCTCTGGACAGCCCCGTCTGCAGGTCCATGTCGCTGGAGAAGCTGCTGCTGCTGCTGCTGCTCTGTCCTGGTTTTCCGGCTCACCTCCCGTTCCTCGGGCGGGCACGCTCCTGGGTCCTCCCGTATCCAGGGCCTTTTATCCTGAGGCTGGGTGCCCACAGGCCCTGCCCTCTGGGGTTATCTCTGATTTATCAGTCACATTCCCACCCGCTGAGCTCAGGGCCGGGGAATGCACCCCTCCGTGCCTGGGACCTCCTCGCCAGGGGTGGAGGCGGAGGAGAGCAGGCCTTGTATAGAAATGGGACTGGCTGCGGGCAGGAGCACGGGGCTGGGGGGGAGGAGAGTTAGGGGTATCTTCACCTCCTTTTCCATTTCCCTGCAAAAATCCCGAGACCTAAGTGTGACTCCTTCCCCTTCCATCCCCACCCCAACCATTCCAGAAAGCGCAGGGAGAATTCCAGCTATGGAGGCCTTACACAAGTGCAGGATGCAGGGGTGACTGTACCAGCAACACCCCACCCCTGCACCCCTACAGGCATCTTCCCTTACCTCCAGCCAGTTCCTTTGCTCTGACCTCCAGCCTGCTGGTCTACCCTGTGCCCTGATCGCTGTCCATGGTCCTGATCTCCTTGAGCAAATTCAACGCAAGAGGTCTTCCTCCGGCATCGCAGGGCTAGCCAGAGGGACAAGCGTGGGGCCGGGACGAGACTCCCTCCCCTGACCCTCCCACAGCCCCCTGCACTAGGATGCCAATTCTCCAGTGTCACCTCCGCCAAAGCCTGGGTGTGACGAGGAACTTCTGGAATGCTGACCCTGCTTCCAACCCTTACAGGGTAGAGCTGATTTGGCTGGAATTTTGAGAGGCAAGGCCTCGAGGTGAAGTCATCCAGAAAGACCTCCAGGTGCCAACACCTCTTCTCCGTCACCACGCAGCATATAACGGAAAAGGCAGGAGGAAGCGGGGGGTGGTTATCTGTCTGGTGGAGTCCTGGGGAGGGGGGGGTGAGGAGTGCCCTCCCTCATGCCTCCTCCTGCTGCTCATCTCTGGTCTACTTCCCATTAGCAGATGGTCAGGACCGCTCGTCTGTGATTACAAACGAGGCTGCAAAGAAAGGCGGCCCTGGGAAGAGACACGGCGGATTAACCCCTGAAATTATGTGTGACTAGGGTCACCACCCCTTCTCAACAACCTGTGTTAACGGGCAGCAGGCTGAGGGGGCAGGTCACCAGGAAGGAAGATGGCTTATGACAGAGTGGAAAAAGGACATCACGGGGCAGAAGCTATGGTTTCTAAGCAAATCTTGCTTTTTTTTATTAAAAAAAAAAATAGCATCTGCCAGATGTGAGAAAACTACTGTTATTGTCCCACCATTTTCAGATCAGGACACTGAGCTCATAGGAGTTCATTTAAACACACACACACACACACACACACACACACACACACACACTGTACACAGATGAAGTGGCAGCGAGAGAGATGGCAAAATCCAGCCACGTGGGAAGCGGGGTCTGAGGTATGGGGGCCACCGAGGATGGAGAGGGCCCCACAGAGGACTCTCGAGGAGAATGGCCTGCCTCTATGAAAAGGGCAGGAGTGCCGCAACCGGTTTGGCTCAGTGGATAGAGTGTCGGCCTGCGAACTGAAAGGTCCTGTGTTCGATTCTGGTCAAGGGCATGTACCTTGGTTGCGGGCACATCCCCAGTGGGGGGTGTGCAAGAGGCAGCTGATTGATGATTCTCTCTCATCGATGTTTCTAACTCTCTATCCCTCTCCCTTCCTCTCTGTAAAAAAATCAATTAAAAACATTTTTTAAAAAGAAAGGAAGGAAGGAAGGAAAGAAAGGAGGGAGGGAGGGAGGGAAGGAGGAAGGAAGGAAGGAAGGAAGGAAGGAAGGAAGGAAGGAAGGAAGGAAGGAAGGAAGGAAGAAAGAAAGAAAGAAAGGAAGGAAGGAAGGAAGGAAGGAAGGAAGGAAGGAAGGAAGAAAGAAAAAAGAAAGAAAGGGAAGGGCAGGAGTAATGGCCGCTCCACCTGCTGGCCGCATCCTTCCAGAAGCGCTGCTGTGCCGAGGCCACCAGCTCTAACCTCCTCCCCTTTGAACCCCCCACCCCCTGTGGCTGGTGCGGGGAACTGCCAGACCCCAGATCTGGGCTCGGCATTTGTGCGGTGGGCTGTCAGACAGGCCCAGCAGAACAGGACGATGGACAAGGTACAGGAGGTCACCAGGGTGGGAAGCCTGAGGTGCCAAACAAAGAACAATTGTGGGGGGACCTCACCCCCAGGGTGGCCTTTCTTCCCTAGCAGATGGCTGGTCCTGAGGTTTGGACCCCTGACCTCTCCTCCCTAGAGAGGACATCCAGGCCTCAGTTGTACGTCAGCTCCAGGCTCAGAGAAGCAGCCAATCAAGACCAGAGCCCACGGCTGACCTCAGAGCCGCTGCCCTGAGTAACGCCCCTGCCCAGGGGCCCGCCAACCAACAGTGCAGACCCGGCCCTGACAGGACACCTAGGAAGCTGCTGGGTATCCTTTGAGACCTTCCCCTGCGACCTCCCCTAAGATCTCCCTTAAAACCCTTAAGACGGAGGACCAGCACGCTCTCTCCTAGCCGCAGCTCCTCCTCCCAGGAGCCCACCAGCAGCCTCTCCCCCTCCCTCCCCCTCAGCCTCCCCTTCCTCCAGGGGTGTTACCATAGCCATCCTGGCCCCCAAGCTCCAAGGGCCCTTCCTTTGCCTCTACACGTCGTTTTCCTAAGCCAGCTCTTCGGTGAATGACTTCTGCCTCTGTGCTTTACCCAATAAATCTTCTCACAGTTTGGGTCTTGGCTCTGCATTCTTTCCTAGCCAGAACCCAAGAGCCAAGGTTGCTGAACCCAGGTCCAGTCGGACCCCATGGGTCTAACACCCCGTGCCGTTCCCGCCATGCCCCAGCTGGACACGTAGGTGGACGTCAGCTTTCTGGGACTGATTTGTCGATGACCTCTGCTTCCTTCCTCTCCTCCTCCTCCTTCCTTCTTCTTCTTTTTTTCTTTTTTTAAAATATATTTTATGGATTTTTTACAGAGAGGAAGAGAGAGGGATAGAGATTCAGAAACATCGATGAGAGAGAAACATCAATCAGCTGCCTCTTGCACACCCCCTACTGGAGATGTGCCCACAACCAAGATACATGCCCCCAACCGGAATCGAACCTGGGACCTTTCAGTCTGCAGGCCGACTCTCTATCCACTGAGCCAAACCAGTTTTGGCTCCTTCTTCTTCTTGTTACTGAATCCTTTAAGCCTCCCTCCCCAGCTGCTCCCTCCTACAGGCTGGCCATGGCAGAGTAAATCTCCTGGGATCAGCGTTTGTTGGTGGTTGTGTTCTCTGTCTCGGAGTACTGCTGAAGGCACGGGTCATGTGAGGAAGGTAACGGTGCATGTGCCTGGGGAGTCATTGAGAAGAACAAGCACGTACTGGCCTCGATCCTGCGGACACTCTGGAAATGGAGAAGGGGTGGAAGGAAGGAAGGAACAGAGAGAGGGCACAGGACGGAGTGGGGAGCCTGCCAAGCCTGGGGGGTCACATTCATGAATGGCGTGGAGTGGGGGCTCATGTGAGGACGGGATCATTCATGGCTGTCCCAGAACACCCACACGAAGGCTATTAATAGAGCTGTCGCCCAAGGGGACACTCCGTGCCCAGGGAGGCTCAGGCCTGTGCAGGGCCGGGCCCTCTGACAGCCCCACCACCGGAAACGCAGGCGGCGTTGGCAAGGCACCGATGCCCTCCGGCTGGCTCTGGTTCCCTGGCATGAGTGTCCAGTGACGTCCACCATCCCCACGCAGGCTCGGAGCCCCAGGCCCTCCCACGCGAGCTCCGGCCTCCTGGACATGGGTGGGAGCCTGGCACTGTGTCCCCCCCTAAAATGCTGTGTCGAGCAGTGTGAGGGGCGGAGACCATAGACAGGCATGACAGGAGAATCCTAAAGGAGCAGTATACTGGGCGGAACGATGTTCCCCAAAATGCATGGCCACCCAGCACCTCAGAACGTGACCCTACCAGGAAACGGGATCTTTACAGACATTTTTAGTGTTAGGGTCGCCAAAGGAGGATCACAGGAGGCCCAAAGGGGTCCGGATTCTAAATGCATCCAGGGGTCTTCAAACTACGGCCCGCGGGCCACATGCGGCCCGCAGAGGAGTCTGATCCAGCCCGCCAGGTTTTTTGGGCAGTGAGCGCAGCCGAAGTGTTACAGTAGGAATTAGTAGTTCATATAGTCCGGCCCTCCAGCTCTCTGAGGGACCGTGATCTGGCCCCCAGTTTAAAAAGTTTGAGGACCCCTGCTTAGACCATCTGCAGGCCAGATGGGCTGTGCCCCCAAAATGGCGCCAGCACCCAGGGACGGGGAGGCAGAGTCTGAAAGGACTCCAGGCGGCTGGGCTTTCTCAGCAGGGTTTCTCTGGGTGGGTCCAGATCCTGGGGAAGCCTGGAGGGGAAGGTTAATGGTTTTAGCAAGTGGGATGTGGGCTAAGCCAGTGGTTGGCATACTCATTAGTCAACAGAGCCAAATATCAACAGCACAATGATTGAAATTTCTTTGGAGCGCCAAATTTTTGAAACTTCAACTTCTTCTAATGCCACTTCTTCAAAACAGACTCGCCCAGGCCGTGGTATTTTGTGGAAGAACCACCACACTCAAGGGGCCAAAGAGCCGCATGTGGTTCTCGAGCCGTAGTTTGCAGACCACGGGCCTAAGCGAAAGGCAATATCAGTTGTGAAACGGTCTAAAGTTCAGTTCCCAGGGGAAGAGGTATTGATTCAATTATTTGATCAGTCCTAACAATCAGTTAGGATGAATCCTACTGAATTAGGGTGGGCCCTAAATCCAATGTGACTGGAGTTCTTCTAAGAGGAGAGACACACACACAGACAGACAGAGAGAAAGCCAGGTAAAACCAGAAGCAGCCTGGCCCCATCTGGTGTGGCTCAGTGGACAGAGCATCGGCCTGCGGACCAAAGGGTCCCGGGTTTGATTCCAGTCAAGGGCCCCTCGGTTGTAGGGCTCTGGTCATGGGACATGTAGGAGGCAACCAATCAATGTGTTTCTCTCACATCGATATTTCTTTGTCTTTCCCTTTCTATCCCAACTCTCTAAAAAAATCAGACTAACTCTCTATCCCTCTCTCTTTCTCTCTGTAAAAAAATCAATAAAATATATATATTTAAAAATCAATGGAAAAATATTTGTGGTGAGGATCAAAAGACACACACACCAAAACAAAAACAAAAAACAACACACACACAAACAGGAGCAGCCTGGCCAGTGTGATCAGTTGTCTGCATCCTCCCATGACCAAGAGGTTGCGGTTCAATTCCCAGACAGGGAACAAGCCCCAGTTGAAGGCTCAATCCCATTAGGGGTGTGTAGGAGGCAGCCGATCAATGTTTCTATCTCTCTCTCTCCCTTTCCCTTCCTCTCTCAGAAATCAATAAAAACATATTTTTTAATTTAAAAAACAGCCCTAACTGGTTTGGCTCAGTGGATAGAGCATCAGTCTGTGGACTGAAAGGTCCCAGGTTTGATTCCGGTCAAGCAGGCACATCCCCAGTGAGGGGTGTGCAGGAGGCGGCTGATCAATGTTTCTCTCCCATCGATGTTTCTGACTCTCTATCCCTCTCCCTTCCTCTCTGTAAAAAAATCAATAAAATATATATTTTTTAAAAACAACACACCTCATGATAAAAATAAATAAAAATAAAAAAACAGCCTCGAGGTCTCACTCAGGCCACTGCTCAGTCGTCAGGTGCGGCTGGGCTGGGCCCTGAGATGCTGTCCCTTTAAATGAGCTTTGCAGTTCGGGGCCTAGGGTGGGCATGTGTAGTCCCTCCTCCCCTGCTCCCTGCTCTGTCTGGAGACTCATTCCAGGGGCTTTGGCCGGGGAAAGGCCTAGGCTCTGCCCCCTTAGACCGAGACCAGCACAGGCATCAGCCTCAGGATCTGCCCAACACGGACCGGCATTACTGGTGTTTGGAGCAGCTGGGGCTGGGGCTGGGGGCTGTCACCCCAGCCTCTGCTCAGAACAAAGGCAGGGAGGACTCGGGGAACGTCCCAGGCCCAAGAGGCCCAGCTCCCCGCTCCAGGCTGTTAGGGGCTGAGAATGGGGTTTCTCTTTTGCATTGAGCACCTACTATGTGCCAGGCACAGACTGGGAAAGTTCTCTCCGGGGCCCTGACATTTCAGACTTAAAGAATGAAGAGGAGCCAAGATTCCAGGGAAGAGTCAGCAGGAGGCAGTCTGACTGGTCAGGTTCAGTGGCTGAGCATCAACCTATGAACCAGGAGGTCATGGTTCGATTCCCAGTCAGGGCATGAGGCAGACAGAGGAGCTGGGACCAGTGGCTGGAGCAGGGAGTCGGGGGAAAGGCTAATTAACAGCCCCCCAAAATGCCCACTTTCTAATCCCGGCCCCCTGTGTCACCCTAGGTGGCAACAAAAGGACTTGGCAGAGGTGACGGGAAGGAGCCTGAGGTGGGAGGTCATCCTGGATCACCGGGCAGCCCTCGATGCCATCACAGGGGCCCTCCTGGAGGGAGGGAGGCAGAGGGAGGTCTGAGGCACGCTGAGCTGAGCTGGCGCCCGGCCACGCAGGCCACTGGGGGTGGAGTGATGCAGCCACCAGGAACTAAGGCACAGGACTCTCCCCAGAACCTCCCAGGGACTGTGCCCCAAACTCCCACCCCCCCCCACCCCCTCACACACACCCGAGGTTAGCCCTGTGGTACTGAGTGTGGACTTCCGGCCTCCAGACCTGGGAGAGCTCTGTTGTCTGAAGGCGGCAAGTTTTGTTCCGGCAGCTTGTTCCACAGCAGCCACCGCAGGACAGCAGGGGAGAGGCTGGGAGGGGCTGCAGAGCCAGGTCAGGGCGCCGGGGACTGGAAGGAGTTGGGATTTTGTTTCTGGTGTGCCGCCCCGCACCCCTTCTCTCCGCTCCTCCTCCTTTCTTCCTCTCATGTGCCCCAATCCTCCGCACTCCCTTTTCTTTCTTTTTTTTTAAAAAAAAAATATATTTTATTGATTTTTTACAGAGAGGAATGGAGAGGGATAAAGAATTAGAAACATTGACGAGAGAGAAACATCGACCAGCTGCCTCCTGCACACCCCCCCCCCCCCCCCACACACACACACACTGGGGATGTGCCTACAACCAAGGTACATGCCCTTGACCGGAATGAACCTGGGACCCTTCAGTCCACAAGCTGATGCTCTATCCACTGAGCCAAACTGGTTTCGGCTCTGCACCCCCTTTTCAAATCATTCAACTTATTGTCAGCAATCATCAGCCTTGAAACTGTAAACACATTTCTTTTAAAAATATATATATATATATTTTTTGATTTCAGACAAGGGAGAGGGCAAGAGAGAAAGAAGCAACAATGATGGGAGAGAGTCACTGATTGTTGCCTCTTGCACCCCCCACGCTGGGGACCGAGCCTGAACCCCAGGCATGTGCCCTGACTGGGAATTAAACCTTGACCTCCTGGTTCGTAGGTCAATGCTCAACCCCTGAGCCACGCTGGCCGGGCTTTTGCAAATATTTTAAAATGTTTTTACAGTTTCACCCAGCCAGTGAGGCACTGGGCACTGGGCACTGGGCACTGGGCAGAAGCCTGCCCGCCCAGCTCCTGGCTGTCAGCACGTCGCCCAGCAGGACTGACGCGAACTCTGACGGCTGATAAAGCCCCACGGCCTGTCCGTCTGGAGCCTGAGGCTCTGGGCCTGATAAGTCCGGCCTGTCAGCGCCGTGTCCACACCTGCTGCTGGCCAGCCGCAGAGCCCACCCTGGCTGGGCCTGTGCTTCCTGCCAACGGTTCACAGCCAGGCCTGGGCCGCCATGCCTAGGCCGAACCACAGTCACCTTGGGATGCCCTCCGGGGGCCAGGCCTGAAGCAGCAGGATCGAGGCCAGTTCATGCAGGAGGCGGAGTGGGACCCCAGAGCTGTTCAGGCTGCTGCTTCCAGATCCATCTGTGTGGGGTTCTGGTCACACTCGAGACTCACAGTATCTGGCCCTTCCTAGGGCAGCCAGCTGAGCCGGGGGAGACCTTGACCCTGGGAGATACCTGGCACTGTCTGGGGCGTGGCTGGCATCATGATTAGGGAGGGCAGCTGCCTGCCGCTGGTAGGTAGAGCCAGGGGTATCGTTAAACATGTTACGTGCACAGGACACCCCCGGACAGAGGATGATCGGCCCCCTGTGTCCACGTTGCCGACGGAGGGAACTCTGAGTTGGAAGGCACGGGAGCTAGCCCGGGAAAGGGGCCTCTGATGCCTCGCCCAGGGAGGAGAAGCCAAGTCTAAGCCCGGGAGCCTGGGCCTGGACCGGGGCAGGCATAGCGCACCCTCGGGAACCGAAGGCCAGGCCTGCGCTGCCCGGCCCGGCCTGCAGACACCCACCGGGCCCGGTGCCTCCTGCCCTGTGGCCTCTTATCCTGGGAACGTCATAGGAAACAGCGGCTGCTTTCCCAAGCACCAGTTACACGAGCTGGGCACTGTGCCACGCGGGCTTATTCCTTATAGTGTTTCTACACAGCAACTCCAACGAAGGGATTGTCGCCAAGCCCATGTTACAGATAAGAAAACCGAGGCCTGCCCTGGCCGGTTTGGCTCAGTGGAGAGGGCATCAGCCTGTGGACTGAAGGGTCCCGGGTTTGATCCTGGTCAAGAGCACAAGCCCAGGTTATGGGCTAGATCCCCAGGGGTATGTGTGCAGGAGGCAGGCGATCAATGTTTCTCTCTCATCATTGACATTTCGCTCTTTCCCTCTCCCTTCAAGTCTGAAGGCAATAAAAATATATTTTAAAAGATAGAAGGAGCCCTAGCCGGTTTGGCTGGGTGGATAGAGCGTCGGCCTGCGAACTGAAAGGTCCCAGGTTCGATTCCGGTCAAGGGCACTGAGAGAAGCCGCCTCTTGTCTTCACCAGCAGAGAGATGTGGACAAGGAACCCGGAAGGCTGGTGACCCTTGAGCTCTGGCAAAGGTCAGGGCTGCACACCCACTGTTTAGACCAGACAATGGTAGCTGAAGCAATTTCCCCACCTGAGAGGTCCCAGGTTCGATTCCGGTCAAGGGCACATCCCCGGTGGGGGGTGTGCAGGAGGCAGCTGGTCAATGTTTCTCTCTCATCAACGTTTCTAGCTCTCTATCTCTCTCTCTTCCTCTCTGTAAAAAAATCAATAAAAATATATTTAAAAAAGAAAGAAAGAAAAAGATAGCCTGCCTGCTACTGGAAATTGCCTGCCTGAGAGCTATAAGTGTGTCCCAAATTGAATACAAGGATGGCAAGGCCTGAGCCCAAGCAGAGTCCTTCCTCTTGAACTGGGCTCCCGCCTGGTCCCCCCATATTTCCAAATTATTATTTCTTGTCTCGTCTCTCTCATTTGCATGTGGCCCCTCTTCCAGAGCCCGAACCCTGAACCAGCTGGGATGTGGAGGAGTCACAGGGCACATGCCCGGGTTGCGGGCTCAGTCCCCAGTGGGGGACTGGCAGGGGGCAGCCAATCCATGGTTCTCTCTCATCATGGATGTTTCTATCCCTTTCTCCCTCTTTCTTCCTCTCTGAAATCAATAAAAAATATATTTTAAAAAAAATTTAAAGAAAAATGAGGTCGAGCACTATTACCTGACTTCCCAAGGGCTCTGTTAGGGTCATGTTGAAGCCCCAAACTGCAGAACCTCAGACGAGCTAACTTAGAGACAGGGCCTCTACAGAGATCATCAGATTTAAGGAGGTCATTCGGGTGGATCCTAATCCACTAGGACTGGTGTCCTTATAGGAAGGGGAATTTGGACACTTGTCCTAACAGGATGGCAGAGCCCAGGGCGGTGCGCCCACAAGCCAAGGGCTCCGAGGGTGCCTCTGAGCCACCAGAGGCTGAGAGAGGGGCACCGTCTCCCTCTCAGCCCGAAGGACAGACCCTGGACACCATGTGCTTGGAATTCTAGCCCCAGGACTGTGAGGCCAGACATCTCAGCCATTTAAGTGCCCGGTGTGTGGCCATTCGTACACCAGCCCCACAGACAAATCGCTGCCTAGGAGGGGTGGGCTCTGGGGGGCACACCGGCCTGTCCAACTCCAGCTTCGGACCACGTTCCAAATACTCCCTCTGGGGCAGCTGCCCTGCAGGTGACAAGTCCCCGGAGGTAGGACTTCCGCTTCCAGAAGCTTCGTTTGGTGGCTGCCCAGGACACCTCAATACTGCTCTCACTACCACAGAGAGTCAGTATAAGCATGCCCCATCCCTGGCTGTGTGGTGGGATGATATTTTTTAAAATATTTTTTTTGTTGATTTCATGTGAAATGGTTGTAACGATTGTGTGCCCCCGTAGGGTTCTCGTGAAGGTGAAGAGATCATGGCTGCAAACTGCTCGGCACATTGTCCCTCAGGACGAGCTGCTGCTGTGACTGTTACTACTATGATGACTCTGTTCAGCCCCATTAATGTCAGCTCCGGTCCCCTCTGACGTTTTCAGCACCTGCCCTGTCCCTCAGAGCTGGGGCTCCGGGGACCTTGGAGAGTCCGCGTAGGGATGCGACCCCCTCTCCCCCCTCCCCACACACACTCGTCTTCACCACCCCTGAGGAAGTCACACGGGTGGCCACTCTCAGACCGTGTGAAGTGCTGTCAGCAGCCCTGCCACGTTCCTGGGATGCTTCAGCTGCCCGTGCATGCGCCTCGGCTGCCATCACTCAGCTAACGTGCGCCCACCCACTGCCATCGCGCAGGGTAACCTTTACCCCAATCCTGGCAGGCACCGCTAACCACACCCAGAGCTACTGCCACCATCGCACCAGCCTCTGTCCCCAGATGGAGCCTGCTTCCCTCCGGGCGGGAGACCAGACAAGCTCTCAGAGCAGACAGAGGGCAGCCCAGACGTTTCCTGAGCGACCCTGCAGGCGTCCTGCTTCTGAGAGGCAAGCCGGCCTTCCTCCGTCCTGGGGCTCGGCAAGCGTCTGCCACCCCTGACCAGGAGCCGGCTCTTCGGGGCAAAGGGGACCCCAATGCCGCTGCCCCGGGGGAGTCTGCAGTCATGAAGGGCGGAAAGGCCGGTCCAGCTGTTGTTGTTGTTGTATTTTGCTTTGTTGTCTGCTCATTACCAAGGCCAGATCTCACCACATTTCCCACCAAAACTGAGAAATAAGCGAGAGAAGAAGAGCAAAGGAGAAAGTTCTCAGCCGCATGATAAAACCCTGGAGTGCCGGCTACGGAAGGGGTGGGAGATGACTGGCCTTCTCTTTTCTGGAATTTTCTATTTATTTATTTATTTATTTATTTATTTATTTATTTATTTAACAAAAAAAAGTAGCACATATTCATAGTAGTAAGAAGAAAATCAAGCCCAGCAGGCGTGGCTCAGTGGTTGAACGTGGACCTATGAACCAGAAGGTCACAGTTCGACTCCTGGTCAGGGCACGTGCCAGGTTGCGATCTTGGTTTCCAGTAGGGGGTGTGCAGGAGGCAGCCGGTCAATGATTCTCTTTCATTGTTGATGTTTCTATCTCTTTCTCTCTCCCTTCCTGTCTGAAATCAATAAAAATATATTTTTAAACAACAACAAAGTAAATCAAACTTTTGAACCAGGTGCACCCACCTGGAGCCCCACCCTCGATCCTGCTCCCCTCAGCGCCGGCCACTGGCCCCGTCCTCACAGCCCCTCCATGGCCTGCCCATACCCACACCCAGGGCGCAGGTCTGCCTGATTGTATGTCAGTAATTTGCATATTCCTACTCTTTTATTAAATTATGAAGCCATGGCCAGTTTTGCTCAGTGGATAGAGCATCAGCCTGTGGACTGAAAGGTCCCAGGTTCGATTCTGTCAAGGGCATGTACCTTGATTGCAGGCACATCCCCAGTGGGGGGTGTGCAGGAGGCAGCTGGTCGATGTTTCTCTCTCATCAATCTTTCTGGATCTCTATCCCTCTCTCTTCCTCTCTGTAAAAAATCAATAAAAAAATATATATATATTTTAAATTAAGCTGTTTGGTTGCTAGATTCCTAAATAATCTTAAGGATAATCATCCTATGTGAGCATATATTGACCTAGCAGCATAGTCTGTCACATGAAGTCCAGACCAGGATGCTTCTGAGTGTGAGATGGGCATGTTAGGAGCCAGGAGATGGACAGCAGCCGGGACTGCCAGGCAGGGGTGACGGGAGAGAGCTAGCCGACGCGGAGGGGGACGGAGCTGCTCGCGTCTTCTCTGAGGGGTTCGCCTGTTTTCTAAGCACGCGATGGACGCTCCGGGTGGTGGGGCACCCCGGGCCAGGATTGAGCCCTCTGCATCATCGGTCCCCACAACCAGGGAACTCCCCGAAGACCACCTGGGGCTCAGGGGCCATGTGGGGGAAGACCGCACATCCTCTTCCCGGTGGCTCTCTCCCGTGTTTGCCTCCTGCTGTCCACGCCAGCTCTGCGAGGCCCGGGCCCCGGGCCGCATGGCCAGGCCGGGGGACCGCGTTGGCCCGGAAGCGGGGAGACACCCCTGCGTGTGACCACGTGGACACTGCCCCGGGCCCTGTTCTGCATGCCCCCTCCTCCCGTCCCCCTCCCACCTGCCCTGGTGGCCAGTCCCTCTCTGCCCTGGTGGAACTGGTGTAAGAGGAAAGGCAAGTGACAAAGTCTCAGACCCCCGGCCAGGGCCTGGCATGGGGAGAGGACCCAGCTCTGAGCACGAGCACAGGGCTGAGACCTCCCGCCCTCACCCAGGAAGTGGGTGTCATAGGACTTCCCCAGCTCCCTGGGGGCCACAGCCCTGAGGTGGGGTTAAGGTCTAGGGACAGCGGAGGAGATAGGGAAGTCCAGTGATAGGGTCTTCCGTGGCCCTGGGGGACAAGGCCCCACTGCGCTGGGACACCCTGCCCCTCACAGGCTCACACCCAGGCCCCACCCTGGCAGCACCAGGCTTCGTGGTGGCTGATGCTTGTTTTTCTGTTTTGTGTTTTAATCTTTATTGTTAAAAGTATTACATATGTCCCCTTCCCCTCCTCATTGGCCCCTTCTAGCCCTCCCCACCCCCATGCCTTCACCACCCTATTGTCTGTGTCCATAGGTTTATGCATATAAAGGTGGTCCATTCTTGTGAGCCCCCTGCCCCACCACACACACATTCACACACACATTCACATACACTCACACACACACATACACATACACACTCACACACACATGCCCCCACACACACTCACACACACACATACTCACACACATACACATACACACACACTCACACACACATACCCACACACACACTCACATACACACATACTCACACACACACACACACACACACACACACACGAGCAAAAAGCATGAGAGGCAAAGGCAAAGGTGTGGTCAAAAAGGGAAGCGGCCATGACTGGTTTGGCTCAGTGGATAGAGCATCAGCCTGCGGACTGAAAGGTCCCAGGTTCGATTTCGGTCAAGGGCATGTACCTTGGTTGCGGGCACACCTTCAGTGGAGGGGGTGCAGGAGGCAGCTGATCGATGTTTCTCTCTCATCGATGTTTCTAACTCTTCCTCTTTGTAAAAAATCAATTAAAAATATTTTTTAAAGGGAAGCTCAGCAGACAGGAGGTCAGACAGCGCCGGGCATGGGCCCTTCCCTTCCTGCCCGCTTGGCACAGGAGGCGGTGGGCACCAGCTCCAGACCCTGCAGGCGGGCGGCCGGGCCCGTGACCCCGGCCCTCGTGGCCCCTCCGGCCCGCAGGCTGACCTCACTGCCCAGGCCCGCGGAGCCCTTCCTGGGGCCACATTCCCCGCTGAAGAGCCCCTCTCCAGGCCTCCGATGGCGCCGTGTCTTTTTAGGAACCAAGGGGCTAATTTTAGTGCCCCGGCCTGCGACACCTTCTCGAAATAGCTCCCTGTTTTCCCTCTCGTCCTGCCCCTCGGAGAAGGTGAACCCCCTGCGTCCCCGTGATCCGAGGCGGAGAGCACAGGCCCAGGCCTTGTACGGGTCTGGGCGGAGGGCCCGTGTCCCTGCCGTGGCTTCCGTGTCCCTGCCGTGGCTTCCGTGTCCCTGCCGTGGCTTCCGTGTCCCTGCCATGGCTTCCGTGTCCCTGCCGTGGCTTCCGTGTCCCTGCCGTGGCTTCCGGGTGACCAGACTCACCTGGGGAGCGGGCGGCTCGCAGGGCCCGCCATGCGGGTCCCCCCGCACCGCAGCAGCCAGTGCTCCTCCTGCCTCCTCCCTGTCAGTCAGCCACACTCAGCCGTGGCCCCGGCTCCTGTGGCCTAACGTCAGGTCCCCACCCTCCGGAGACCACGTCTAACCCGTGGGAATCATGGATCAACCGCCGCCTGGACCCAGGGAGCCTCTATGTCCTGTGCCGCCGACTCTGTGCCACTTTTGTGTCAATAATAACAATTGCTGCCTGGCCCGAGTGGCTCTGTGGTTGAGCGTTGATGTTTCTGTCTCTCTCCCTCTCCCTTCCTCTCTGAGATATATATATATATATATATATATATATATATATATATATATATATATATATATATATATATTTTTTTTTTTTTATTGATTTTTTACAGAGAGGAAGGAAGAGAGATAGTCAGAAACATTGACGAGAGAAAAACATTGGTCAGCTGCCTCCTGCACACCCCCCACTGGGGATGTGCCCACAACCAAGGTACATGCCTGTGCCAGGAATCGAACCTGGGACCTTTCAGTCCACAGGCCGACGCTCTATCCACTGAGCCAAACCTGTTTCGGTACTAAAAATATATTTAAAAAAGAAAGAACAGCCGGGACCGGTTTGGCTCAATGGATAGAGCGTCGGCTTGGGGACTGAAGGGTCCAGTGTTTGATTCCGGTCAAGGGCATGTACCTTGGTTGCGGGCACATCCCCAGTAGGGGGTGTGCAAGAGGCAGCTGATCGATGACTCTCATCGATGTTCCTAACTCTCTCTCTCCCTTCCTCTCTGTATAAAATCAATAAAATATATTTTTTTAAAAAAGAAAGAAAGAAAGAAAGAAAGAAAGAAAGAAAGAAAGAAAGAAGAAAGAACAATAATAATAATTGCTAAGCCTTTTCTGAGCACTCACTGCGTCACCGAGTGCTTCCGGGGCATGCTTTCATTAAACCTTCTGTGACTGTCCCCAAGGTTGTGAAGGCACCAGAACTGGGGTTTGACCTCAGTGAACGGACCCCCAACCTTGGCCTCATTGCTCACCGGGTGCCCCACACGCCCATCCTCTTGGCAGCCTCTCTCCACCCCCTGCCCCCTCCGAGCACTCCACTCAGGGCCTTCTCTGCTTCCCAGGAGCAGGCCGGGCAGCCTGCCGGCCTGAGGCTCGGAGCACTGCTGGCGGGAGGACACACCAGCTCTGGAGCTCTGAGTTCCGGCGGCTTCCCCCGAAGGAGGCTGCAGCCCCCGAGGTTGAGGGTCCCAGAGGGCCATGTGGGGGCCACACCTAGTCAGAGAGGGAGGCCCAGTGACACAGCCGGCGTGTGCCTCTGGGATGGGGAGGCTCCGCCAGCAGCCCTCCCTTCCCTGAGAGGCAGGAAGCTGTCGTAAGGGGCTGCCATCTGAGTCCAGGAGTCGTGAGGCAGCAGCTCCCCCCCGCCCCCCGACCCAGCACACTGCCCACGGGGCCGGTTGATCTGCTGGGAAATGGACCAGCCACAGAGGAGAAAAGCCAGACGGGGCCTGCCCGGGCCTCCTCCTGCGGCAGTCACAGCCCAAACCCCAAACCCCAAACCCCAAACCCCACACCCAGGGGCTCCCAGGGGGGACCCCCGGAGGCCCCTGCCCTGCAACCTGGGGGTCTGATCATGTGACCAGGCTCTCCAGAGACCAGGTGGGATCTGATCATGTGACCAGGCTTTGCAGAGACCAGGTGGGGTCGGAGAAAGGCAGAGGTGGCGCTATGGGGCAGGGTGTGGTCGCACTGGGTCAGCCAGAGCCCAGCACTGAGTCAGGATCTCAGGAAGCTCCTCCAAACCCCAAAAGGTTTTAAGTTGTCTCTATTCATCCAAGCTCCTTGCCTGCCAGGGCAGGAAAGAGGCACGTACTGTCTGAGTGAACAGAGAGCCTCCCTTCCCCCAGAGCCAGAGCCGGCAGCTTCCTTTTATTTTTTAAATTTATTTTTATTGACCTCAGAGAGAGGAAGGGAGAGAGCGCTGGAAATGTCACTGGTGAGAGAGAATCATGGATCGGCTGCTTCCTGCACGCCCGCTACTGGGGCTCAAGCCCGCAACCTGGGCATGTGCCCCGACCGGGACTTGAACCCTGACCTCCTGGTTCACGGGTCAACGTCAACCACTGAGCCACACCAGCTGCGCACCAGCAGCTTTCTTAAATGTCGCCAACCTCCAGTCAGTGCTGGGTGCCAGGCGCGTGGGCACACACGGGGCTGGGGGAGCGGCGGTAAGGGGGGGCTGTCGCCCCGCCAGAGGGTGCTAAGCCTTGAGATGACCAGAGGGAGGAGGACAATACTGTGACACACGCATTACAAACCCAGACACGCAGGGGCCGGACGGCTGGTGTAAGGAGTGGAGCCACCACGTCCTACGTGTGGGGACGGCACAGGCCATGCAGAGGCCGGGGGACGTGGAGAACCTTGTCTGAGGGGAGCCCAGCCTGCCTGCCTGCTGTCCGGGGGGAAGGCACTTGTATTGTCAGATGCAGAAGTAAGTTCAAAATCTCCGTAAAAATCTGATTTTCAAATCTGGGTCAATTTTTTTTTTTTTTTTTTTTTTTTTTTTTTTTTTTTTTTTTTACTGCCACCAAGAGTTTCTAACAAAATGTGCCTGCAGCCAGGACCGGTTTGGCTCAGTGGATAGAGCATCGGTCTGCCGACTGAAGGGTCCCAGGTTCAATTCCTGTCAAGGGCATGTACCTTGGTTGCAGGCACATCCCTAGTAGGGAGCGTGCAAGAGGCAGCTGATTGATGTTTCTCTCTCATCGGTATTTCTCTCTATCCCTCTCTCTTCCTCTCTGTAAAAAATCAATTAAAAAAAAAAGTTTAAAAAACAAACAAACAAAAAACACAAGTGCATCGTCTTGTATAATTGTCACCCTGAGCCTGTGAGCAGATGGGGCGGGTCTGCTATGCCCATCTGACAGATGAGGAAGACTGAGACCCAGAAGAGGGAAGCACTGTGACGTGTCTCACAGCAGTGGGAGAGCACGATTTCAACTTGTGTCTCTCTGACTCCAAAGAGGGGTGTTCGTTCCCCTCAGCTCTGCCAGAGCTGTGTGGGGAGGGGCAGGGCCGCTGCCTCAGACGCGGGGACCATTCCGTTACCTGAGCCCCCGGCTCCCGCTCTCAGCCCCCTGAGAGACGCGGAGGGCGGCGATAAGGGTGCCGAGGTGCTGATGGGCCATGTGACGCCGAGATGTTTGCAGCTTCACGGACCGCGCCACCCTCCCGGGGTCTGGCCCGGGCGGAATGCAGAAAAGCAGGGTCAGGTGATGGACAGGGTGTCGGTGACGGACAGATTCCAGTGTCAATCCCGGGAGCTCCGGGCTGAGTCCTGCCCCGTCCCCGAGGCCTCCTCCCCATCCCTGGCCGCCTGTGTCTCACCCCCTCTGGCTCCTCACCCTCTGCAGGGTCCTCACACCCTGTCTGCCTCTCGGGGTCTCGCGGCCCCGCGTTCCGAGATGCCCGGTGTGGGGAGGCCGCCCGCACGCCTCCCACTGGACCCCTCGGTCCTGTGGGCAGAGGCGAACTGGTCTGCTGTGGATCCTGCCTCTGAGGCCAGCGGCATTGCTGGTCCCTAAAGGAGGCCCAAGAGAAGCCACTTGGGACCAAAGACACCCCCACCAGTGTAGGTCACCCACAGAGGAGGCTCCACCTCTGAACACCCAGGTCACACACTGTGGAAGCACCTGCCTAGTTTGTAAATAAAGTAGAATGTTTCCTCTAGCCCCGTTGTGAAAGAAGCAAGGGGTATTTGAAAATCCGGGTGATGTGCCCAAGTGGGCGGGAGGAGAGACTAAGGTGGCTGTTAGTGAGACTTTGCTCGCCCCACCCTAGTTCCCTCTTACCAGGAGCCTGGTTCTATCTTTGCTCAGGGAGTAAAAACTACAGCCCCTTGCTGGGCTCAATCTGCCTCCCAGGCCGCAAACTGCTACAGAGCATGTGGGGGAGGGAACCAACTCACGGACCCCTGCATGACTTGGTGCTTTTACATGATGGCTCCTTTAATCCTGATGCTGACCTGGCGTTAGGCATCAGTACCCCATTTCACTAGTGAGTAAACTGAGGCTCAGAGAGATGTGGCAACTCGCCTGCAGTCACACAGGCCTCCACAGGCAGGGCTTGGATTGGAACTGAGGACTGTGTAACTGCAAGGTCTACCTTTCCAATGCCCCGGAACCATTCTAAGGAGACAAAGTGAGGTTGGCTTTGACCACCATGCAGCCAATCCCAGACAGAAGGGGGACAGGCCCTCCTTCACAGGCTAGAAATGCCCACACAGGAACAAAATCTTTCTCGGAGTTCCCCTGCCTCACCTGCTGGCCTCAGGCCGAGCCACTGCCCAGTCTGGCCCACCTGCTCCTTCTCAAAGCGAGGACCCAGCAGCCAATGTCACCCAGGTGAAGAGCAGGCCTCTAGCGTCACCTGCTGGAGATACAGTAACAGCGTCTCCAGTGGCACCCGCATCTCCCAAGTGCGTTGTCCCTGCCCACTGAGGAGACTGGGGTGAGACAGACTAAAGGCAGGAAGAGGGGCCAGAAGTTTAGCTCCTACACTTGAGCCTATAAACAGGTATGGGTATCGCTCCTGCCAGAACCTTAGAAATGTGCAGCTGGAAGGCTCAAAGCAGGAGCCAGACCTCACAAGGATGGATGGATGGATGGATGGATGCTACACTTGATCTTAACCAAAAGGCTGAGAAGTAATGGATGAATGGATGGGTGGATGGGTAAATGGGTGGATGGATGGATGAATGGATGGATGCTATACTTCCTCTTAGCCAAAGGCTGAGAAGTGGTGGATGGATGGTTCGATGGATGAATAGATAGATGGATGGGTGGTTGGATTGGATGGATGAAAAGATGGATAGGTGAGTGACTGGATGGATGGGTAGAAGAGTGGATAGGTGGATGAGTAGATGGATGGGTGGATGGATTGAAAGGATGGATAGATGGATAGGTGGATGACTGGATGGATGGGTGGATGGGTGAATAGATGGATAGATAGGTAGGTAGAGGCATGTCTATTGCTGAGGACCAGGCTAGGAGGAAGATTAGCTAATTGCTGTAGCATAAAAGCAAAACAATCCTACATAATAAAAGTCTAATATGCTAAGTGTCTGACAGTTCATTTTGTTTGACTAATCGCTATGACAAGCACTGACCACCAGGGGGCAGACTCTCTGACAGTTGGGTTAGCTTGCTTCTGGGGTGCAGCTGATAGGGACTGGGTGATACAGGCCAGACAAATCCTGGAGCCTTCCTGCAGTCCCTCCCCAGCCCTGATTGGGCACCAGTGGGGTCCCTCAGCCTGGCCTGCACTCTCTTGCAATCTGGAACCCCTCAAGGGACATTGGAGAGCCAGTTTCCGCCTGATCCCGTAGGCCAGGCTGAGGGACCACACAAGTGTATGAGTTTGTGCACTGGGCCTCTAGATTTCTATAATTTTCTGAAAACTGGCCTGGCTGTTTGAGCCCCAGAGGGCCAGCTAGGACCTCCTGGCATTCCTCTTTCTGATCAGCCCAACGTTTTCATATCAATCAGGACCATTGGTGGGACTGTGCTCACTGTCACTATAAACCTCCCCTCGCTCCCCTCTCCCAACCAAACTGCCCACAGACTCCACCGAGGGGGCCTGGGGTGATGCTGGCTCCGGGAACCTGGGAGAAGGGGGCAGCAGGGCCCTAAAGAATGTCCCTCATCCTGACTTTTCCCCCTCATAGTAGATATTTCTTCCTCCAAATGTCACGTGTTCCCCTGACCTCTAAACTACCAGCCATCAGCTCTGCAGGCCTCATTAAATTCGCGTTTGTCATTGTTGTATCTTATATTGTCTGACATTACATATATTGAACAACAGCTTTTCCAACGTTTCACGGGGTTGTCCGGGGGTGTAAGGCTCACCAAGGGGCTGGGCTTACAGCAGGTGCACATGAATTCCAGCTGTGGCCCTGAACCAGGCAGCCTGCAGGATGCATCCCGACTACAGGTGTGCTTGGTCTTGTTTTTTAGTTTTGAATTAATTCTCAACAAGTAAAAAGCTGGACGTTTTAAGTAAAACCCCAGATTTCTGGCTCCTTTAGCAACCCGGTGTCCCTCTCTGCATGGCCCCCCTCTGCGGGAGTCGATGGCAGGTGCGCCCTCTGCAGGACACGTGGGGTTGGAACTCCTGGTCCAGGCTTTCCCTACCTCCCTCCTCCTCCCTCCCATCTTGTCTGAAGAGCAGGGGGTATTTCTGAGGTCCTGTTCCAGTAGTCTTAGTTATCATAGGTCTGGAGTGGGTGGAGCATCCCTAAGGGGAACCCAGGAGTGCTTTGGTTAATCCAGGGACCACGCACTGTTTTAAACACTGATCTGGTGACGCTACTCTCTTTTAAAGGATTTTTAAAATATATATTCTTATTGATTTTAGAGAGGAAGGAAGAGGGAGAGAGGAATAGAAACATCCATGATGAGCGAGAATCATGGATCAGCTGCCTCCTGCAAGTCCCCCACTGGGGATGGAGCCCACAACCTGGGCATGATCCCTTGGCCAGAATCGAACCTGGGACCTTTCAGTTCTCAGGCCGACGCTCTATCCACTGAGCCAAACCGGCTAGAGCACGCTATTCTCTTTTAAAGCTCTGCTATGCCTCCCTTTTCCTTCTAGGTAAACCCAAGCTCCTAGCTTGGTCCTGAGACCATTAGTACTAAGACTTTCCCTTTCAGCACTGTGCCTCCCTGCTGTGGATCCTTTCCTGCTCTGCCCAGCTGTCAGAGAGCATTCTGTGATCATTGCTGACCACACACACTTGCGCCCCCCCACCTCCCCACCCCCAGCACATAGCATGCTCCTTGAAGGTGACATGTCAGGGATCTGCTCCGCCCCTGAAGCCCAGCACAGGGTTTAGAACGGTGCCCAATGCGTTTTTGTTTAATGAAGAAAATTCTGTGCATGTTTTATGCTATTTTACAATTGTAATTATTTATTTAAGTCCCAAAGAAATTTTACTTGGAGGGCTAGTTATAAAAGAGTCAGACTTTTTCTGGTTTGGACAAGGCTCCGGTTTATAGAGTATTTCTTAAATCTGGCTTCCGCTCTGCCCCCTGGTGGTAGTCCCCGTTGCAGCACCACAACGAAAGAACTATTTAAGGTATTTCCGGAAACCGGCTGCGGTTCATTTGCATATCCACAATGCATTGCACGTGAAACGGAACAATTTCCAACGTAGAAAAAAGACTAGATTCTCTTATTTTCTTTGAGCTATTCTTCCCACAAAATGAGACTTTCCTCACGGAATTGTCTGGGGAGGGAGAGAAGTCGTTAGCTCTTCCCGGTAAATAACCACCATTACAGATTTAGGGGTAACAGATACCCGAGAAATGTGGGCTGTAGTTGTTGAGCATACTCTGGTTTCTCTTCAGATCGCATAAATCTTTCGCCTTTTACTAAAGATTTCCGTGGAGAGGAACAATTCTGAGTTTTGTGCCAATTTTTTGAGGCCTTGTGTCTGCAAGGCTACCCAATGGTGTTAAAAAGTAGACCTTGTATTTTGCAAATAGTTATGTGGCTCATCTACAAGAACTTAGCTGATGATTGGGTGCAAAATCGCTTAGTGAGCCTGGGTAGAGCTTACAGACTGATGATGCAACGGGCAGTGGGTGGTGCCCCGCTCCGACATTTGCTAAATACAGAAGCTGTTGCGCCGACCTTAGACAAAACTTCTTACATTTATCTGAAGATGATTCGTGGGCACATCTAGCCACAAGCATTTTTCACGGAGGGAAATACCGGTTGAGTCCCAGTACCTTTCCAACTCTGTTAAGTGTTGCACGTATTGTCAGTTTTGACAGCTTTTTAAATAGTAATTATTTAGGTTTTTCTATAACATGTTATAATGATAACTGGTATTGTTGTTTTTCTGATCATGTGATTCAGCCTTAAAACTAGAACTGGATTTTTTTTTTTTTTTATCATTTGTTAAAAACAGGAACGAGAAAGACATTTGATGATGTTTATAATATATGTGATAAAACTCAGGGCGGGAAGTCAATTTTTTTCCCCACCAATCCTATTAGCCAGAAGTTAGTTTCTTTCTTTTTCTTTTCTTTTTTTAAATATATTTAATTGAATTTTTATAGAGAGGAAGAGAGAGGGATAGAGAGTTAGAAACATTGATGAGAGAGAATCATTGATTAGCTGCCTCTTGCACACCCCCTACTGGGGATGTGCCCGCAACCAAGGTACATGCCCTTGACCGGAATCGAACCTGGGACCTTTCAGTCCGAGGCCAGGCCGACGCTCTAGCCATTGAGCCAAACCTGTTTCGGCTTAGTTTCTTTCTTTCTTTAAAAAAAAAAAAAATTATGTATGTATGTATATATATATATATATATATATATATATATATATATATATATATATATATATATATAAATTTTTTTTTTAATTTCAGAGAGGAAGGGAGGAGAGATAGAAACATCAATAATGAGAATCATTGACTGGCTGCCTTCTGCACGCCCCCTACTGGGGTTTGAACCCCAAACCTGGGCTTGTGCCCTTGAGCCGAATTAAACCCAGGGCTTTTCAGTCCGAAGGCAGATGCTCTGCCCACTGAACCAAACTGACTACGACAGAACTTAGTTTCTTGACCACACCTAGCTGCAAGGCAGGCTGGGAAATGTAGTCTTTCTTCTGGGCAACCATGAAGCCTGCCATGGTGTGAGAATACCCAGGAAGAAAACTAGTCCTATCTGACCCAATAAAGGAGGGAGGGAATCTATCCCGAAGTTCCTTCCTTTGCCTCCATTTCTCAGCCTTGCACGCTGCTCTCTGTGGCCAGCTCTTGTGTAGAGAATCAGGGAGCCGGGGACAGGTACCCACAGTCCAGCCGGCTCCTCGGTCCCAAACACTATTCAAGTGATAAGATGGTATTATTCTCTCCTTCCCCCAGACAAGCTGCTTCTCACATGACCGGCTCTGGTCGGTCAGAATCAGGTGCCTGTAGCCAGTGCTTTCTTTGGGCTCTGAAGGCAGGGTGTGTATCCAAAGCAGGGATTTTTATCTTGTTTGCTGTTCACCTTTGGCAAAAACAGAACCCAGTGTAAGGAGCACTCCACGCCCCCAGATTACAGTCAACAATTCAAATGAAGCAGGTTTGTTTGCCCTAACTCAGTGGTGGGCAAACTGTGGCTCGAGAGCCACATGTGGCTCTTGGGCCCCTTGAGTGTGGCTCTTCCACAAAATACCACATGCGGGCGCACACGTACAGTGTGATTGAAACTTTGTGGCCCATGCATAGAAGTCAGTTTTTGGCTCTCAAAAGAAATTTCAATCGTTGTGCTGTTGATATTTGGCTCTGTTGACTAATGTGTTTGCCAACCACTGCCCTAGCTGGTTTGGGGACTGAAGGGTCCTGGGTTCTATTCTGGTCAAGGGCACATGCCTGGGTTGTGGGCTCGATCCCCAGTAGGGGGTGTGGAAAGTGTGGAAGAAGCAGCCGATCATAGACTCTCTCTTATTGATGTTTCTCTCTCTCTCCCTTCCTCTCTGAAATAAATCATATATATATATATATATATATATATATATATATATATATATATATATATATTAAACAAAGAAAGCAGGTTTCTTAGAGAGATGGCTGATTCCAGACACGGGCCAGGAAAGGCTCCCAAGAGTCCAAGATGGTGTCATTGGACCATCAGGAAGATTAAGATAAGAGTACCCCTAATTTCCTCTGGGAACCACTCCTCTCCTATTATTCATTTTTCAGTGGTTTGAGGTTGACCTGCCCAGCCCTGAGGAGGTGACTTGAGTGGCCTAATCTAATTACCATGCCCCTGGCAACCTGGCAGTGATTGGCTCATGGCTGGGCCGTCCAATGAGAGGCGAACCTGAGCAGTTTGTTGTTGTTTTTTCGTTTGTTTATTTTAAATATATTTTATTGATTTTTTACAGAGAAGAAGGGAGAGGGATAGAAAGTTAGAAACATCAATGAGAGAGAGACATCGATCAGCTGCCTCCTGCACACCTCCTTCTGAGGATGTGCCTGCAACCAAGGTACATGCCCTTGACCAGAATCAAACCTGGGACCCTTGAGTCTACAGGCCGATACTCTATCCACTGAACCAAACCAGTTAGGGCAACCTGAGCACTTTGAATAGGAATGCTGGGACTCAGACTCTGCTGGCCTTGCTAGGAGGGCATCAGCCTTGTGATAGATAACTGGCCATTTTGTTACCACAAGGGCAGTCGATGTCAGGACAGAAGCCCATCTATTATACCAGAAGCAAGAGATGCATCCTACCGAAGTCACTTGAATCTGGATCAAGCCATTCCTGAAGCTCCTACTACACTACATCGTTATGTGAATCAGTACTTTGCCTTTTGTTTAAGGCAGTTATAGTTAAGCTTTCTGTCCCTTGCAACCCCTGAAGTCTTATTTGAAACACAGGATTAAATGGCAGAGTGCGTACACATGCAATTCAGCAAGCGTTCTTTGAACACCTGCCCTGTGCCAGGCCTTGTGCTAGTTCTGGCTTTCCAGAGATGGTATAGCCACTGCCTTCCCAGGACTTAAACAGATTAGAGGTTCGTCAAATGGAATCTCCTCCCGCTCCCTTTGTCACCCAAAGGCCAGATGCATGGCCTGCTAGGGGCTTCTCAATGAACATTTACTGAAGCAAGCAGCTGTCTGAAGGCCCCACTGGCCAAAGCCGCAGGAAGCAGGAGGGTCAGGCTGTCGGTAGCTTGTTCAGGTTGGGGCTGTTTGACTGGCAACACCCAGTCACTGAGAGACTCCCTCCCTCCCTGAAGTCCGGTCTGCAGGGAGGGGAACTGCCCCACAGCCCGGGGGGATGAGTCCCTGCCTAAGCAGACCAGAAGCTCAGGCCACCGCTGCTTCCAGAGAAGGGGGTCAAAAACAAGATCCCACAGGGCAGGTTATGTTGTTCTGAAGGTTTTTAAAGCCGGGCATCCTTTGAGAATCTGAGGAAAGCTATGGGACCTCTTTTAAGAATAAAGGTGCACACACATGTTGCAATTCCAGGGGTTACGGGCCCCTTGAAGCTAGTTATGAACTTGAGCAAGAAAGCGCTAAGGCTCCCTCGTCATCTAAGGTCCTGTGACTCTCCGGATTCTTGGTTTGTTATCATCCCTGGGAAGTTCTGTTCCTTCGCTGGAAGAATATGCTTGTCTTGGCTATGTGGGCTCCCATAATACCATAGGCCAGGGGGCTTATAATTGACAGGAATGCATTTCTGGTCATTGGTTCGCCCATTTCGGGGAGCAGAAACCTCGAGAAGTGCAGTTGGGTGTGGCAGATGGTATGACATGCCCTCTAGCCATCGCATTAAACCGGAAGCTGCTTGACCCAGGCTGGGGAATGGGAGGTGTGTCTCAGCTTTGCGCTGCCCACAGCGGGAGTGGACGGTGCCCGGCCCAGGGCTGCCAGGGCAGCTGACAGTAAAGCTGAGGCTTGTTTACTCCGTCTCCTGGCCGTCTGCTGTGGGCCCTCCAGCTCCTGGGCCAGCAAACCAGGCTTCCGGGTGAGGGGCTGCTGGAAACAGCATGGAGGCCACACCCTCCCCAGGTGGCCGCCACCCCCAGCTCTGTCCTTGGTGGACCAGCGGCAGCTCCATTCTCCTCCCCAGAGGCAGGGTCAGGCCTTAGCTTTAGCACACAGCCGGCAGAAGCTGGGGCAGGCAAGTCTAGGCTCCTTAGGGCAGGTAGGGGGACAGAGATTATGGCAGCGAAAGGACCAGTGATGCTTCGACCAGCCCATGGGGCGGGACCACCCAGGGACCCCACCCCCCTGGGGAGCAGAGAAGTGGCTGCCTCCCCATCTGAGTGGATGCCTCTGAGAGGAGGAGGAGGAGGAGGAGGAGGGGGAGGAGAAGACGTGGGAAAAGAATTCCTATCGTCACATGGGGGCGAGGTGGCCGGCCCTTCTGCTTCAGACACCACCCCAGTCTGGTGACCAAGAAAGATGGGATGTTTCCAGAAGTTTCAACCACACACAGATGGACCACGGAAGTTTGAAAGAGATTTATTTAAAAACGGAACAAAAGAAAGCTTTGGTATTTCAAAAACAACAATTAGCAATCACTAGAAAGTTAAACACTTCCCCCGAAGCCCAGAAATACAAAACACAGATCGTCAAAGGGACATGTGCAAACCCGAGGGGGCCCCGGGGCCGAGCCCTCCACGCAGGCCACCACGCGGATGCCAGCCCTGCGGCAAGCTCAGAGACCACCACCAGGAATCACTGTCGACAGTGGAAGGAAAAGCCATCAGCAAAATCTCAGCAATAAATTAAAAATCCAGTTAAGAAGGAACACATTAAATTAGGAAAGAGCCCACAATTCTCCTAGACGAGTCTTTTCCAAAGGGGTCTAGTTCCTGGGCAGAGGAAAGGGGGAAAGTGGAAGGAGTGAGTTCGATTTCAAGTATTTCCCACGTGGGTTCATTTTATTGAGTGGAAAGCTTACAAAAGCCCACTGGCCGCTCCCCCGCTCCCCAGTGCGAACTCCTGAACATCCACACGCGCTTCTGCATCACTGCTGTCCCAACAAGGCACAAAAGGGCGGGTGCTTTCAAAGGATCCCTTGTTCGCTGCAGCAGGAGTGTCAGTGCTGGGTGTCTTGTGCCAGGGGTGGCTGAAAGCAGGGCTGTTGGTTCACTCAGACACTGGGATCTTCCTGTTCAATTAACAAAACAAGTTGTTACTGCTCGCCGCTGACCCTGTGGGCAGCTACAGAAATGCTACGGGGAGCGGCCACGGAGACCGCCCTGGGGGCGCCCACCCGGGCTCTGATCGGGCGTGACTGACGGCTCCCGGCCCAGGGACAGGCTGGAACTGCTATGGATGTGCTGTCTGGGGCCTCCGAGGCGATGCAGAGCAAGCACCAGGCTCTGCTGCGGTGTGGCCCGCTCTAGCACAAGTAACTGAGGGACGTGGGGCAGTGCTGCATGAAGGCAGTTTGGCTTGTCCCCCGGACTGTGTGGGAAACCACGGTGAATAGGTGTGTGCCACTTTAAGAGCAAGGAAAAGCAGCCTGGGGCAGAACAGAGGCTGCCACCCACACAATGCAAACCCAGAAGGCTCCCGGATGGTGTCTGCACATTTCTTTTTGATCTGACTTTGTTCTTCAAGCTTGAGGAGCTCAGACCTGCCTCCCACCCTTTTCCCACTCCTTCAGGCCCAATGCTCCTTCCTCCTCCCAGTCCCGGCCACAAAGCCTGCGGAGGTGATGGGGCATTTCTCTTTAGCTACTTAGCACCAGACCTAGACCTTCATCTTCCTCTCTACTCTCAGGCGGAGGAGGGCAGAGGCAACAAGCTCCCTCTAGCACTTCCTCCTGCCACTGCCAACAGCGGATTCCCTCCGATCTTTCCCCCGGGACATCCTGGTGGCGAGAAAGCACAGACTGACGGGGTGACAGGGCAGCAGGCGGCCTCCCCCGAGACATCAATCCTGATGTCCTGAGATATGGTCCAGATACAAGCCCGCAGCGACTGAGATCAAAACCAAGGCTTCCCGGGGCACAGCCACGTGAGGAACTGAGGGGAATGGCCTTGTCTGAGCTGACAGATGACCCCCTCTGGCCCACAGTGCAGGCTGCCCGGGTTCAGATGGGGTCCCCTCAGCAGCTTAGACAGAGACCTCGGGTTAATCTAGGGCTTTGCTGCAGTTATTTTCAGGTGCTGAGATTCATCTGGGGTGGGGTGGGGTGGGGTGGGGTGGGGGACAGCTGCCCAGGACCCTGGGAGGCCAGCGGGCTCACCCACCCGCAGCTGTCCCTTCCTATGGTCTCCTTTCACAAGTCACTTCTCAGTGTCCTTTCAAACACACTCGCTCCTGTCTATGAGTAAAGGGCTGAGGACATGGCTGAGAGGGCACCCCGTGACGGCCCAGGCCTCACCCCGTCCTAGAGCAGAGGACGGAGTGCAAGGCTCTGCCGACACCAGGCTCTATACCTTACTCCTGAAGAGGGGCTTGGCCCCAGGCCCACAGTACTCGTTGTAGATGAGCTTGAAGAGGAAGAGGTGGAAGAGGGTGATGAGGGAGGCCACGCTGAACCAGAAGAGGAAGGGCAGGCCGGGGTCCTGCTGGGCCATGTGCTCGTCGTGGGCCAGGATGGCCTTGAGGTGCAGCGTGTGCCGCAGGTCCTGCAGGTGCGTGAGGTCGGTGGAGACGTAGAGCAGAGGCGTGATGGGCTGCGTCACCATGACGGGGAAGGTGAGGCCCTCGGGGTCCGAGGTCAGCTCCATGGGATCCGCCAGGCAGCCCGCCTCGCAGGCGTAGATCTTGACGGGCTGGCCGTGGGTGTCCACAGACACGTGCAGGTACGGCTCGCCCCTGGGGTCCTCGAGCACGGCCAGGCTGATGTGGTTGTTCTTGTAGCGGATGCCGTGCAGGGCGTAGCTGTTGTGCAGCACGTCCGGGTCGGCCTGGAACTGCAGGTGGTTCTCGGTGAACTGCAGGCCGCCGAAGCTGAGCACCATGCCCTGCAGGATGCCGGGGGCGCCCACCTTCACCAGCCCCTTGCAGCCGCGCTTCTGCAGCGTCAGCTTCCACAGGTCGGAGAGCTGCAGGATCTGCTGGACGGAGGACAGCCAGCTGGGCCAGAGGTTCTCGGCGTGCATGGTGGCGTGGCCGCTGAAGCAGTGATCTTCATAGTTGAGCGTCGACTCCATCTGGTCCCGCTCCCTGTGGCTCAGGCTGGGGCTGAGCAGGGGGGCTGTTGAGCAGGACAGCATGTAGTACAGGGTCAGGTTCACGGTCAGGCCAGACGGGGTGTGGGCGTCCGTGATCTTCTTCATTTCCACACCTGTAACGCCACCAAGATTGCACGTTACGGAGGATGGCACGGCATGAAAGGGAGAGCGCGGGCAGCAGAGACACAAAGTCTCTGTCCTGAGGGTGCTCCTGCCTGGCTTCCTCACATGACTAACTTGAGCCCTGTGGGCCCGAAACCTAAAATCTTATTAAAAGACACCACCCTGACTGGTTTGGCTCAGTGGACAGAGCGTCGGCCTGCGGACTGAAAGGTCCCAGGTTCGTTTCCAGTCAAGGGCATGTACCTTGGTTGCGGGCACATCCCCAGTAGGGAGTGTGCAGGAGGCAGCTGATCAATGTTTCTCTCTCATCAATGTTTCTACCTCTCTATCCCTCTCCCTTCTTTTCTGTAAAAAAATCAGGGGGGGGGGATTGGAATGGGGGGTTGAGGATAAATATGTGATACCTTAATCAATAAATTTTAAAAATCAATAAAATATATTTAAAAAAATAAAAATAAAAGGCAGCGGTGCCTCCTGCCAAAGCCCCAAAGAACAGACAGAGCCAGACCTTGGCCCCAGCCATATGGAGTCAAGTAGAAAGTCCGTTCCAGGACACTGTCACTCTAGCCAGCCCTGGGTTTCTCCACTCAATCCTCTCTCTCTCTCTCTCTCTCTCTCTCTCTCTCCAGTCCTGTAGCTGTTAACATTGTTTATGTTTTTATTGCTTTTAGAGAGAGAGGGAGAAGAATAGAGAGAGAAACATTGATCAGCTCCCCCCTGCACACTCCCTACTGAGGATCGAGCCCGAAACCAAGATCTCCAAATTCTGAATGACCTCTAGACCCAACCAGCGAACAGCCCGCTTGGACGACAGGTGTTTTGAACCTGACGTGGCTGAATTCTTCCAGCCCCAAACCGATCCTTCCCGAAGTTGTCCCCAGACACCTGCTCAAGCCCTCCCCGCAAACTCAGGGGTCACCTTGGCGTTCTTCCTCCCGGCAGCCAGTCCCTGGAAAGTGCTGGCAGCTCTGCCTCCAAAGGTGTTAGAATCTGTCCCCTTCCACCTCCACAGTCACAGCTCCGGCCCAGCCACCCTCCTCTCTCATCTGGTCTCCACGCTCCACTTTGCCCCCATACGGTCTATTCTCTGCACACAGCAGCCACAGGGACCTTTAAAAGCGTGCAGCAGGTGGTGGCTCTGCCCTGCTTTCCATCCCATTTACAATACAATTCACCCTCCTCACTAAGGCCTGCAAGACCCTTTAGGATCTGGCCACTCCACTCACTACCTTCCCCACCCGCACCGGTCCCCTCAGGCTCACTCCCTGCGGGCCACACTGGCCCTTCAACCAAACTGGCTGCTGCCTCAGGGGCAATGGCCTGCTGGCTGGCTTCCTCGCCATTCAGGTCTCAGCTTCAGTGTTTCCTCCTCAGAGAGGCCTCCCTGACACCTGGGGCTAAACAGAGTCTGGCCCCTGCTTTTACCTCCCCCTTCAGTCACCTTCAATCACTACTTTTAACCTTTCTCTGTAGCACTTCTGATTCTAGAACGCTATCTTTCTTATCTATTCAAAATTTCAATTTCCTAATGTCTGTCTTTCTCCCATCCAGTGTGAGCAAGCCCCGTGAGCACAGAAGGCACCGTGAGCAGGGCCTGTGCTCTGCCCATTCTGTCTTCTCCCGGGAGGACAGACCTGGCAGCGGCAGGCACACACTTCTTGGATGAATTAGACTCCTTGGGTAACTAAATAGAAGGATCCAGACAACAAGAACTCTGCAAACCAAAATCTCTCTCATCTAGAGCAGGATTTATCTTCTTCAGCAGCTGAGGGGAAGCAGCTTTCCTTTGACAGAGCATCCCACCTGCTGAGAGGTCCCGCTATCTCCTTGTGAAAAAACCGCAGCCCCCTCAGCTGGGGCACCTCAGCGGGAGCTGGTCACCAGGAAACCGTGCTGGTCGCCAGCCGGGCTCCAGGGAACTGAAGAAAGAATCTGGGTGGGGACTGACCAGGCCTCCCCCTGCCTGCCATTTTTATCCTTTACAAATTGACCCTCTAAACCCCTGATTCTCAACCTTTCTAATGCTGGACCCTTTCATACAGCTCCTCATGTTGTGGTGACCCCCAACCATAAAATTATTTTCGTTGCTACTTCATAACTGCAATTTTGCTACTGTTGTGAATCATAAGGTACATATCTGTGTTTTCCGATGGTCTTAGGCAACCCTGCTGGCGGTTCTCAACCTGAGAACTGCAAAATCGTTATGAAATAGCAACGAAAATAATTTTATGGTTGGGGATCACCACAACATGAGGAACTGTATTAAAGGGTTGCAACATTAGAAAGATTGAGAATCACTGCTCTAAGCCATTGTGCTCAAATCAGGCCTCACCCACAAGGACGGAAAGAAGACTTACCCATTACACTCATAGTTAGAATCTCATTAAAGCCTCTGAGGCAGGTGCTACTGTTACTACTGAATACAAGTCCAGAAAGATTAGGCTACCGGCCCAGGTCACACGGACACTAAGGGATGGAACAGGGTCAGCCCCAGGTCAAAGGCCACGCCCAAAGTTTAACCTCTGCGGATGTCGGAGGGGCACCTGCAGGGTGGGCCAGGCTCACCCCGGTGCGAGGTGTGGACTATGAACCAAGCACCTGCCACGCCTCACCTGGGCTGAAGAGCTGGGCCCAGAGGCGCTGGTGGTCCTGGAGCAGCTCGGCGGCGGGCATCTCCAGGAGCTCCAGCATCTCCTTCCGGGCCAAGTCCTGCAGCACCTTGAGCTCCTTGGCGGCTTTGCTTTTGAGCGCCTGCGGGTTCAGCGGCCCTGAGATGTGCACCACCCACAGCACCGTCTCATCCAGCTGCGTCTTGGGAGCCACCTGGAGCCGGTCCACTAGCTTCTTGGCGGCCACCACCACGAGGTGCACCTGCCCCTTGGGAAGGGGCGGGGACAGGCCCGAATAGAGAAGGAACTGATGGTCTCCGGCCTTCTCCAGGGTGCTGGTGTAGGCTCTGGGGAGCGGCCTGGCGGTGGGCCCCACCGTCTGCAGCGTGGCCACGCGCTCCGTGGGGTTGCTGAGCTGGATGCGCTGCAGGTAGACGTGGGGCCGGCCCCGGTGCGCCAGGAAGTCCTCCTGCAGCAGCACGCAGTCGCGGGCGGCTCCCGTGACGAGGCCGGAGGCGGAGGCCGGTCCGGGGGCGGCGGCGGCGGCGGCGCCGGTCCCCGGGGCCCCCAGCTGCAGGCAGCGCACCCGGCGCAGCAGCCCCTCACGCAGCAGCAGCACCGACTCCCCGGCTTCGGAGAGCGCGTTCAGCGGGCGCAGCTGCACCAGGGGCACGAAGTCCGGCGCCACGGCGGGCTCCCGCTCGCCGGGCGTCACCCACAGCCGGTTGGCGGCCACGTCCAGGGCCAGGAAGCCGTTGGCCACCAGGGCCGGCACCCCGCGGCCCGGCGGCACCGCCTCGCCGCGCTCCCGCAGGCCGCGCCAGGCGCGGGTGGCCGCCTCCAGGCAGGCGGACGGCGCGGCGGCGCCCGGCGGGCCGCGGGCCCAGGGCAGCAGGTGCAGGCCGCCCGCCGCGCGCCGCGCCCCGGAGCCGCCGAACCACAGGAGCAGCAGCAGGAGGCCGAGCAGGCAGAGCAGGCGGCGGGCCCAGCTGCTCGACAGCAGCCCCGGCAGCCCCTTGAGCCGCTGCTGCAGCCACATCGGGCCGCCGGGCGCGGGCGCGGCGCGGGAGGGGCCGCTGGGCCCGCCGCCCCGCCCACCGGCCCCGCCGCCCGCGCGCCTCACTCTGCAGCCGCGACCGCGGGGCCCGCCACGGACCGCGTCGCAGCCGCTGCGGCAGCCGCCACCGTCCCTTCTTCTTCCTCCTCCGACGCCTCCGAACGTCAAACGACGCCGCCGTCAAGCGCCACCGCGTCTTTTGCGACACATGGAAATGAGGGGGCGGGGCCAGGGCGGGGCTTGGGGAAGGGGCGGGGCCACTGCGGGAAGGGCGGGAGCTGCGGGTGGAGGTGGGAAAGGGGGCGGAGCTTGGGAAAGGGACGGGAGCACGGCGGGAGGGGCGGGAGCTGCGGGTCCGGGTGTGGGTGAGTGGAGGGGGCGGGGTTGGGCGGGTAGTACTGGAAGCATCCGACCAACTTGAAAAAAACACGGAGTCGGCCAAACCCAGCACATGCTAGGCCCCGTTTGCTACTGATGGAGTCAACAGACCTAAGATTTAAATGTAATCATAATATGTACACAGATAATAATTTAATAAAAAAAACTAAAAAAAATGTAATAATAAAACTTTTTTATGTAAAAATGACGATCCTCACCGCAATAAAACAAAACAAAAAGAAAGAGAGAAAGGGAAGGAGAGAGAGAGACGAAAAGAAGATGAAGAAAAGAAAAGAAAAGGAAAGAAAAGAAAAAAGAAAAGAGCCGAAACCGGTTTGGCTCAGTGGATAGAGCATCGGCCTGTGGACTGAAAGGTCCCAGGTTCGATTCCGGTCAAGGGCATGTACCTTGGTTGTGAGCACATTCCCAATAGGGGTGTGCAAGAGGCAGCTGATCGATGATTCTCTCTCATCAATGTTTCTAACTCTCTCTTCCTCTCTCTTCCTCTCTGTAAAAAATCAATAAGATATATAAAAAGAAAGAAAGAAAGAAAGAAAGAAAGAAAGAAAGAAAGAAAGAAAGAAAAGAAAAGGAAAAGGAAGTAGCCCCTCTAAATTAGATTTCCTGGGAAATGCATTGCTGACAGCTCCTCCAGACCAGCCCGGCAGCAAGTAGAATCTAAGGGACAGAAATCCGGCCCCAGACTGTCCATGTCTCCACCACACCAAGCCGTCTTCATGTGAACCCTGAGTTTTAACTTATTACATAACATGAGACACTAAATTCCCATGCTTTGAAAATGCCTTTAAATTGTGAACCATCGATGCAAAAAGAGGCATTTAGCTTTGTTACTGGAGGAAAACATTTGTACGAGCAAGGGCAGACAGTGGGGCCATTGTTCCCACTTCGCTGTCCGGATATTCCGAAGCCAGACAGTGCTTCCCAGTCGTTGGAAATTAACTGGGCATTTGAGGTGGCTTCTTGTGGGCTGTGGGGAGACAAAGATGCGTTTGCCAAGTTGCAAGTCTGGGTGATGGTACAGTAGCCCCTTTATCCCTCCAAGGTTATTATCAAAACACAAACACAAAATTCTTTTTTTTAAATATATTTTTATTGATTTTTTACAGAGAGGAAGAGAGAGGGATAGATAGCTAGAAACATCGATGAGAGAGAATCATTGATCAGCTGCCTCTTGCACACCTCCTACTGGGGATGTGCCCACAACCAAGGTACATGTCCTTGACCGGAATTGAATCTGGGACCTTTCAGTCCATAGGCCAACGCTCTATCCATTGAGCCAAACCAGTTTCGGCTCTTTTGTTTTTAATGTCTGTTTTTTAAACACATTTTTATTGATTTCAGAGAGGAAGGAAGAGGGAGAGAGACATCAATGATGAGAGAGAATCATTGATTAGCTGCCTCCTGCACATCCCCCACGGGACTGAGCCCACAACTGGGCATGTGTCCTGACTAGGAATAGAACTGTGACCTCCTGTGGGGTTCATAGGTCTCCACTGAGCCACTGAGCCATGCCCACAGGGCCAAAAAACAAAATTCTTAATTACCACTGGGAGTTCACAAACCCAGGAAATAGGCTGGTGGCTGACCAGGAATCCATTTCCTGTAGCTAGAGAGATAGGGTCCCTCCAACCTCCTGACGAGGCAGAAGGACTTGGGAGGCACAGTGACCTGGAAGCATACCAGACCAGGTGCATCCCGCCTGTGGAATGGGAAGGACCAGAGACCCTGCCTCTCGCGTTTTGGAGAAATTAATAAGTTAATACAGACAAAGCAAACAAGGTGCATGGCACACACTAAATAATTTTTAATTGGAAACCCAATTTAAAAATGTCATATTGCCGAAACCGGTTTGGCTCAGTGGTAGAGCGTCGGTCTGTGGACTGAAAGGTCCCACGTTCGATTCCGGTCAAGGGCATGTACATTGGTTGCGGACACATCCCCAGTAGGGGGTGTGCAAGAGGCAGCTGGTTGATGTTTCTCAACGACGTTTCTGGCTCTCTATCTCTCTCCCTTCCTCTCTGTAAGAAAAATCAATAAAATATATTTTTTAAAAAAGTCATTATTTTTTACAATTACAAACATCCATGAAATAGGTATATATCTTGGCCCATTTGCATGATTTTTTTTTTTTGGGGGGGGAGCAATTTCTGGAAGCAGATTCCTAGTCAAATGAAAGGCCCAGAATTCAGGGACTCCCTTGCCACTCTCAAACACCCCAAGGGAAGGAGACTCACAGGGAGGTCGGCAGCACAGCCACAACAAAGCCAGGGAGCCAAGCGTGAGGACCGTGGCATCAGGCTGCCTGGGTTTTCATTCTTGGCTTTACCCCTCGCTAGCAAGTCAACTAACTTCCCTAACCCTCAGTTTCTCTATCCATAAAATGGGGAGCATGAGAGAGAGGACTGCTCCGAGGCTTACATGGACACACACGGGACACATTTGGCATGGTGCCTGGTTCAAAATAACCATTCATTACTCACTTTTCCTAGGAAGCAGGATATATGATACAAGATTCAACATGTGCAAAAGGGTGAAGAGCGACTATTAAGTCTTCCCCTCTCCTGGGGCCCCACCCAGCCATCTGTTCCTCTTCGCAGATGCAACCGCTGCCACGGGTTCCTTGGGTACTCTGCCAGATATTCTATTTGCTTACAGATATATAGGCATCTAGACATGTAGTACCAAGTTTTTCTTTCACAGAAATTGTAGCATATGATTTTCACTTGTATCTTTTCCTTTTTTTTTTTTTTTCCTTAGGGAACAGCTTGGAAATTCTATTTCTTTTATTATTATCATTTTTACTAGAGGTCTGGTGCATGAAATTTATGCACTTAGGGAGGGGGCCCTCTTACAGTCCAGGAGCCCTTGGGGGATGTCCAACTGATGGCTTAGGCCCGCTGGGGGTGGGAGAAGTGGGCCTAAGCTGTCAGTTAGACATCCTTAGCCCTGCTGCAGAGGTGGGAGAGGCTCCCACCATCACTGCTGCACTGGCCAGACATGAGCCTGGCTTCTGGCTGAGCAGCACTCCCCCTGTAGGAGCGCATTGACCACCAGGGGGCAGCTCCTGCATTGAGCGTCTGCCCCCTGATGGTCAGTGTGCATCATAGCGATGGGTCGTTCAGCAGGTAGGTTGACTTGTATATTAGCCTTTCATTTTATTTTTAAAAATATATTTTATTGATTTTTTTACAGAGAGGAAGGGAGAGGAATAGAGAGCTAGAAACATCAATGAGAGAGAAACATCGATCAGCTGCCTCCTGCACACTCCCCACTGGGGATGTGTTCGATTCTGGTCATGTCATTGACCAGAATCGAACCTGGGACCTTTTAGTCCGCAGACCAACACTCTACCCACTGAGCCAAACCGGTTAGGGCTAGACTTTTATTTTACAGGATTATTAAAGGGGCTAAGGGTGAGTGGAGTGGGATTAGCTGATGGCTGTAAAGGGGGTAGGGGTCTGCCTAGCCTGTCTGGCAGCACAGAATATGACTGTCCTCGGGACAAGAAAGGACAAGAAAGGACATGGGTGAAAGGAGAGAAGGAATGTGAGCAAAGCCCATGGCAGCAGACAACTGCCCTCCAGGCCAGCTCTCCTTTCTGTACTTTCCCAGGGAAGCAGGGTCCTGTGCCTTTAACTGTGTACAACATGTGCTGCACGTAGCGAGAGTAACATCTGGGCAGCAGCCACCCCTGGTTAAAGAGACAGGACCTCTTTTCGGGTGAAGTTTGGACTGGGTTCAAGTTCTAGCAATTTGATGAAGGGAGCAAAGAAATGGAACCCAGTGTATGGAGGGCAGGCTTGTCCAGGGTGAATCCTTTCTCCAGGAGAGGCCAGCAGCCTTCAAATGGTCCCCCCTCCTCCTGATGTGCAACGATTCTGGGGTCTTGGGCCATGGGAACCCCACTGCCCAAGGGTTTTTTTGTTTTGTTTTGTTTTGTTTTTCTGTCCACAGAACATCACCATTGACGTTCTTCTAGGGCCCCAGCCAACGGGAAGTTAGAGCTGGGTTTTGAAGCTGCCACCCTTCCTATGGTCCCATATCAGCAGTGTGACTTCAAGCACATCACATCACCTTATTTTTAAATATATTTTTATTTATTTCTTACTGAGAGGCAGGGAGAGAGATAGAGAGTTAGAAACATCGATGAGAGAGAAACATCGGTCAACTGGCTCCTGCACACTCCTCACTGGGGATGTGCCAGCAACCAAGGTACATGCCCTTGACCGGAATCGAACCCGGGACCCTTGAGTCCGCAGGCCGATGCTCTATCCACTGAGCCAAACCGGTCAGGACAGATCATGTCACTTTATTATTTTTTGTTTTTTATAATTTTTTAAAAATATATTTTACTGATTTTTCAGAGAGGAAGAGAGAGGGATAGTTAAGAACATCGGATGAGAGAGAATCATCGATCAGTTGCCTCTTGCACACCCCCTACTGGGGATGTGCCCGCAACCAAGGCACATGCCCCTGCCTGGAATCGAACCCGGGACCTTTCTGTCCACAGACCGACGCTCTATCCACTGAGCCAAACTGGTCCCGGCAGATCACGTCACTTTAAATGGGTTCCTCATTTCCCCAATGGGGGCAATGCTGCCTGACGTGAAGGGTTGCTATGCACATGGAATGAAACGGAGTTTTGAAAATGAACCCAGCTGACGTACGCTCATTCTCTTCCTCTCTGCTCATCCTTCCATTTTCTCCTCCGAGGCTCTGGAATTCCAGTCTGCTTCTCCTGAATTCAAAAACATCCGGTGCATTCCGGCGCCAGGTCCTATCCC